TGTAGTCCCAGCTACTCGGGAGGCTGAGGCAGGAGGATCGCTTGAGCCCAGGAGTTTGAGGTTGCTGTGAGCTAGGCTGACGCCATGGCACTCTAGTCTGGGTGACAGAGTGAGACTGTCTTAAAAAAAAAGACTGCAGGCCCTCCACCATTCTCACGCTACCAAACACAGAGAGCTCGCAGCGCCTCTTTGGGGAGGTGGGGAAATGTGAGGGCTCCAGCCTCAGGGGGTGGGGCATCCCAGGTGGAAAGACATAAGTGGGGAAGCTGGAGGCTCAGAGACCCAAGTTCCACCTGCCTCAGTCTGTGTCACATGGTGAACAAGCTAAATGTCCAGGCAGGAAATTACATACATCCAAAATAGGACGACAAGTAAGGTCTCCAGCGAATGTGCTGTCAACCTCGTCGAGCCATTCAGCAACCTCAGTGCCAGGTCCCTCAATGGGCAGATTGTGAGAGTACCCAAAGTGCCCCCACATAAAAAGAGACATTGTCTTGAAGGGCTCGTGTGTGTGCACGCGTGCATATACGTACACATGGGTACACGTCGAGTCATAGGGAAAATCAGAGCAGTCAATGCTGGGCTTCCTTATACATATTTTGGGGTTCAGCAGATTTTATTTCAAACTACATATAAGGTGGGGGAAATCCATAAGCCCTTTGGGACTTGGGGCTTCTAAAATTGCTCCTCTAGTCCTAGAAGTCAGTGAAGGTGGATTGAATTCTGAGAACAAGACCTTAGCTGAGGAGGATCCGCTGGTGAGCATTTTAAAGAAGTTTTGAGCTGAAGTTGGGGCCCCTTGTGAGGGAAGAGGAGGAGGAACAGTGAAAACCTGCCCATGCAGCCCTGGCTCGTCCCGCTGGCGAGTTCAAGTTCTATTAAGAACAAGCAGACATTAGCCCAGGGCCTCCACTGCCAGGTAGGAGGCTCTTGTGTGAATTAGAAAAGCCAGCGCTAGGGAGGACACACTGGGAGCAGGTGCCCCTTCCTTGGGGCACACAGCCAGTGAAGAGAGCCAGGGCGGGACTTCATCCCCATGCCCCTGAGCTCCTGAGCAGAGTGCACGGGACATGGGGCCCTGTCCCCGGTTTCCTGTGGACAGTGTCCACTCCCTCCACTTGAAGCGTCCACCTGACTTCCTTGGCCAGCCAGTGGGTTTGGGTGGTTGTTTCTGTGTGTGCACCTCAGTGGGCTGCAAAGGCTGCTTTGTAGCATCCGCTAGCACTGGTGCCTTTGGGCTCAGTGTGGGTGGAGATGAGCAAGAAATGATATGAATGGTGGCGGGATATAGCTCAGCTTCCTTCCACCTGACCTCCATCAGTCAAAGAGAGAAAAGAAGTGACTACCTGATGACAGGGACCAAATAAGGTAAGAAAGTTAAAAAAAAAAAAGTTATCTTGGCAGCAAAGATAGGATGTGCATGAGATCCCAGTGCTTGAGTGAAACGTCCCAAAATAGAAGATGACAATTATCATCAATTATCATTAGAGACTAGCTGTCACCAAAATCAAATGCAGACTCTCCTAACATTACCATGACGCTGACGAAATTTGCGTCTGGGAGCCACACAGGCGGCCAGTACAGAGCCTGTCTGTGAGATGACCCTGCCGCCCTCTGCTCCCGGACAGGCCGTGTGTAACTGTCTGCCGACGTACACCGGAGATGGGAAGGTCTGCAGCCTCATAAATGTCTGCTTAATCGTGAGTACAGCCCTAGGGCAGGCGCCCTCGGGGCCTCAGAGCCTGGGGTGCCGCCTACCCGCCTTCCAGGGGATGTGGAGTTGAGGCAATCTCCCGTTGAAAGCTTTAGAGTTGCATCTGGGCCAGGAGGCTCATTTCCTGCTCACGTTCCTTATAATGTGGGGGGAAAGGAGACAAGGCCCTGTCTGCTACCCCCGGCCTGCCCCTTTGGCCGCAGGATCCCAAGGGGTCCCAGGTGTACATAGCTGGTCAGGGACTCACCCAAATGCGCTTGGGCAAGTGCCCCAAGGCCAGCTGGATTTCCAAAGGCAATTTCCCAAAGACAGGCCATGGCGCCCAGAGCGGGTCTCAGTAAGTAGCCCTTGGGAGTCAACTAATGGGGCTTTAATGTCCAGTCTGATATCTGGGTCCCTAACCACGGTGATCAGGGGATGAGTACCGATGGCAGTTACCTGGTGTTTCTGTTGCTTTGTTTACTCTTTCTGGACCCAATGGGGAGGACGAGGAGGTCAGATAAAAACTAATATCGCAGTTTCTACCATTCTAGGGGTTTTTTTCCAGCTTCAGCTATCTGCTGTGATATAACAGGAATGTGCCTAAGATAGCATACAACTGTTTTTTTATGATTTCAAAATATTAAGGGGGTGCAAATGTTTTAGGTTACGCAGATCACTTTTATAATGGTTGAGTCACAGCTAAAGATGTGCCTGTCACCCAAATCCTGTTCATAGTGCTGAAAAAATGCTCAATGTCACTAATCATCAAGGAAATGCAAATTAAGACTACAATGAGCATACAACTTTTTAAAACAGGTCATTATTTGTTCAGATATGTGTTTTGGCTTCATCAGCAGAAATCTGGGTAAAACCTCAGGACCCAGCCACATGAATTCATGACCTCTCTATAAATGTGGTCCAACACATTTTCTCAGCTCAGCCACAGCACGCTGAGCTAAGTCTACCCACTTACTCAGCCCCCAGATTGCTAATTCTTATCAAAAAAAAAATACCTCCCCACCTTTCCACAGGGCATGTCTTTCACCTCTGAATTACTCACTTCCTCCAGGGAGCCTTCCCAGATTAACCCCATGGCAACTTTCTACTCCTTACTCTCCTGGGCTTTATAAGTAGGAGTCCACAGTGAGTGTACCATGAGCCAACAATACAGTGCAGCATTCCAAAAGCTAGTTCTGTCTTAACAGAGGCCTCATGACCAGACTAAGAAAGATTCTTCTACATTCACCACACTATTACCCTCCCCAGCCCCAACCACTCCCATTCTGCATGTTAGCTCTGTCTTAGAATAGAGGATCCAGTTCTAGACGCCCTGCATTGAGCAGGAGTTAGTGCAGGGGCAGAGGCCCCTCTTTCCCCCCACTCCCAACCCGCCATGTCCATGTACACATCGTTAATTCTTCCAGTCCTCTTTCTCTCTAAAGAGGAGTCAGGGTGGAGAGTGGAGGCTGCCGTCAACATTTCAAGGATTGCCACATGGCAGAAGGGTTGTTCTTGTTCTGTGTAAGCCCAGGGAGTAGGACTGGGACTGGGGGATGGACTTAGAAGAAAATACATTTCTCTCAACTCAAAGTGAACATCAGGACTGTCCAGAGTTTGGGAAGTAATGAGCTTATCATAACTCAAGGTATTTAACCACAGGAATAAAGCAACAGATAGGTTATCAACCCAGAGGCCTCTTAGGTTCCTCCCAACCCTGACTTATGTGACTCTAGAGTTTGAGCTGGTTTGCTTGTTGGGACCTGTGTCCTTGGAAAGTTGTGGATGTCCCTGAGGTCCCTTTCAGCACTGATAGTCTGGGCTTTTCCTTCCTCCCTGCAGTCTGTAGATACTGTTGGATCACTTCTTGTCACCGTTCCCATGTCGATCCTGATAGGAGCAGGCTCCCCTGGACTGTGTCTTCTGACTCTCTTATAACCCTTGACTGCAGACTAGCCCCATGCTCTGCAAACCCCGTAGGAGCTTACTCAGTCATTGATCACTAAGTCTCGAACGGGGCAAGTTGTCTGCTGCTGCTCAGAGCCTGACTATCCCAGGCTTTGTACTTGCAAAAGGATCAGAGGTTCTGTAAGCCTGCTGTCCCGGCATGTCACCTCTGGAGCACTTTGCGTGGTCAGCCAGGCCTCGGAAGTCCTACGTCCACTTGACATTTATATCTGCTGCTTGCCAGGGCTCAGCCACTGTGCTGCGTGCCCAGTTATGCTCTCATTTAATTCTTCTAACAGCCCTATGATAGGTAAGAACAATGATTAACCCCATTTTACCGAGATAGAGACTCCAGCTGTGTATTCTTTTCTTAGGGCTGTTGTAACAAATCACTGAAAACTGGGTAGGTTAAAACAACAGAAAGTTCTTTTCTCCCAGTTCTGGAGGCCCAAAATCCAAAACCAGAGTGTCAGCAAGGATGCGCTCCTGCTGAAGGTGGCAGGGGTGGATCTTTCCTTGCCTACCCAGCTTCTGGTGGCTCCAGGCCTTCCTGGCCTGTGACCGCATCACTCCAGTCTCTGCCTCCACCTTCACATGGCCTTCACTGCTGTATCCGTGTCATCTCCTTTTCTTGTAGGGACGCCCTGGGGTTTAAGCCTCACCCAGTTAATCTAGGATTATCTCATCTCCAGATCCTCAACTACAACTGCAAAAACTCTTTGTCTAAATAAATCACATCTACAGGTAGAGGCCTCAGGACTTGGATACATCTCTTTGGTGACCACAGTTCAACCCACTACAGGCTGGAAGGAGTGAAGGTCTTGGCCAAGGTCACAGAGCTAGTACATGGCATAGCCAGAACTTGAGCCCACGTCTGTCTAACTCAAGGCCCACACTCTTGACCACTTCCTGTGGTGCTTTTCCTTCCCACAAGGTACTGATGCTCAGAGGAGGGACACCTTGCTTTCCTATTGCTATCACTGCCCACCTGAGAGCCTCCAGCTGTTGGCGTGAGGACAGCACAGATACCCTGTAATTACTCTTCTCTGAGCAAGGTCCCTATTGTCTCCTTGTGTTGGTCTGGCAAGCTCCTCAAGAGAACAATGCCCTCTACATGAAACAATTGCATAAGGATAAGTAAGAAGCTGCAGAGAAGGGGTGTGGTGCTGGGATTTGGAGCTGCTACAACTAGAACTCTGGCCAACTTTATTTTGATAGCAGTTCTTCCATTGGCCATTTTCTTTTTTAAAAGCATGGCCACCTTGTGTTGGACAAAAGTCTTCTGGTACAGCTGGCCTGGGAGAGCCTGGTGGTCCTTTGCTGTCCTCTCAGCAGCACAGTCCCTCAGGAATAACTCTCTATTCCAGGGTTGTAAAATTGCAGGCCAACAGGGCCAGGCGGGGATCATTAATAAGGAAACCCAAAGTGTAGTGCTGCTCTAATGTCTATGCAACTCCAGCTGACTGTTGCTCTGAGCAATGCCAGCCCATTGTTGGCAGTGCTTCTGACTTTTCAAGAAAGATGAACATTTTTATGAATTTTATGTAAATATTTCCAATTTTTAAATGATGATAATTAATTACAGAAAACTCCTTTAAACACTGGGCTAAACAAAACAGTCATGGAGATAAATAATGTCTCAAGAGCCACCAATTTATGCTAGAGTCCCACCAACAAAGGCCAGGAAATGTTGTCTTCACTGAGTCAGTCCTCTGTTTCACACTGTGTGAGTTCCCTTTCTGCTGCTCTAACAGCACACAGTGTAACAGAATACCTGAGACTGTGTAACTTATAATGAACAGAAATTTATTTCTCACAGTTCTAGAGGCTGGGAAGTCCAAGATCAAGGTGCCAGCATCTGGTGAGGGCCGTCTTGCTGCACCATGGCATGGCAGAAGTCATCACATGGCCGAAGGGCAAAGAGAGAGCAAGATAATGAGAGAGAGAGAGAGAAAGAGAGAGAGAGAGACAGAGAGAGAGAAGTGGGCTGAACTTTTCCCTTTATAAGGAACCCTCTGAGACAACAGCATTACCATTCATGAGGGCAGAGCTTTCATGGCCTAATTACCCTTAAAAGTCCCACCTCTTAATACTGTTACAATTGCAATTAAATTTCAACATGAGTTTAGGAGGGGAAAAACATTCAAACCATAGCACACACCTTCACAGCTAATTTGCCTCAAGGATACAGCCCATTAGCCTGGCAATAGAGACCACTTGGAATATAACCTTTGTCTCCCCATCCACCTTCCTCTCACTGGTTGCCTTTGAAGGCTCCACTGAGCTTAAGAGTTAGGCCTGGGTTGGAATCCTGGGTTTGCTACCTCCTGACTGTGAGACTTTGTTAAACATCTTGACCTCTCTGTGCCTCACTTTCCTCCTCTATAAATTGAGATAATAATATCTCCCTCAAGTAATTACTATAGGAATTAAATGAGCTAATGTTTATAAAGTGCTTTTCTCTGGTCTTTCAATAAACACTAGCTTCTGTTATGATTACTAATATGATTATGACCACTCAGTCAACCCCCATTATGCCATTCCACCATGCCACCTCTCAGACCAGAACATCCCTCCACTCCTAACACCCTGCCCAAGTCCTTGCCATGGTCAAGGCAGAGTTTAAGCCTCCTCCTCTGGGATGTCATCCCTGACCACCCCAGTGTATAGAGAGTCCCCCATTCTCTGATCTACCCAAGCCCTTGTGGTTGGAGTCACTCAGGGGCATCTGCTTCATATAGCCTGTTATCATTAGTTCCCTTGGCGATGCCTAAATAATTCTAAACAAATTGTTAGTTCTTTGGCTACCAAGACCATATGCATTTCTATACAGCCAGGGGAAAACCTTCCACAGTATTACACACACCTATGTCAATGAACAGGCCTTGGTCTAGGCACTAGGAATTCATCAGTGACTAAGCAGCAAAGTATTTTTTCTGAAACAGTTTACACTTAGGGGGAAGAGACAGATGCTCAGAGTGTAAACTTTTAATATGCTTTTATTTTTTGCAAATTTTTGTGTAGTAACAACTTCCATGAAGAAGATGTTTTGGTCCATTTGGGCTGCTATAAAAAAATGCCATAAACTGGGTAGCTCATAAACACCGAAATTTATTTCTCACAGTTCTGGAGGCTGGGAAGTCCACAGTCAAGGCCCGGGCCAACTCCCTGTCTGGTGCACTCCTGCTTCCTTTTTTATAGATGACATGTGACACCTTCTCGCTGTGCCCTCACTTGGTAGAAGGGTTGCCGGAGCTCCCTTAGGCCTCTTTTCTTTTTCTTTTTTCACATCAGACAGGTAATATGCCAACATTATAACAAAGTTTGAAAACCCAATCATCACGCTTACGAACCATAAAAGGCTCCCACTTTTCATGGCACTAATCCAATTTATGGGGGCTCTGCCCTCATGGCCTAATTGCCTCCCAAAGGCCTCACCTTCTAATATCAGCACCTTGGGGGGTTAGGATTTCGCCATGTGAATTTTGGGGAGACACAAACATTCAGACCGTAGCAGGAGACAGGCATGCTGATGGCACAGAGACTGGCTGGAAGGGGAGGGTTGGGGGTGCTTAGCTAGGGACGTCCGACAAGGCCTCTCTGCAGAGGTGACTGGTTCCTGAATGTTGAGAAGGGGATAGTCACGTGAAGAACTTGGGGAAATTTTACAAGCAGAAGGAACAGCAAGACAGAGGTCCTGGGATGAGAAGAGCTTGTCATGTTTTGGGGGCTAAAGAGAAAGCTAAGGAGTTAAATGTCCTGGAAAAGTGTAGGCATCTGTGTGCATAACTTCGAAGGGAGTCCAGACAGCACATCTGTGTGACTTTCTCGGGCAGGGCTCTGCCAGTCCAGCAGACCCAGAGAAGACAGAGTCTGGGGGACGGCCAGGGGTTTGCTGGGCCGTGGTGGTGCAGGGAGGGAGAGAGGAGCAAGGGAGGGATCACCGTGCCTGCCTAGGCTGTGGGCCGCTTGGGCAGGTGAGAATGCTAGTGAGAGAGCAGTAGGAGGAAGTAGGCTCAAAGGAGGGGAGGTCCCTGTGCGTCACAGGAGGTTGGAGACGCAGGGATAAGAGAGGTAAGGTGACATGATAGATGCTGGTGGCCAGAGAGAGCAGCATGTTTGAAACACAGCCCTCAGAAGCAGTCCACTTTAATGCTGATTACAAAGTCAGCAGGTGGCCAAGGGGTGGGGCAGGGGCAGTAGAGGCCATTGACAGGGGTGTCAAAGCTGCCAAGGACAGACAACAGGCGCAGAGGGAAAGGCAGCGACCCAGGTGCCACCATTAAGACAGGGGAGGACAAGTTGGTGGGGACCGTGGTACCATGTGCTTCCAGGGAGCTCAGTGTCTAAAGGATGAGGGAGTAGAAATGGTTTGGAAGCCGCAGTGTGCAGTGAGACCGTGACGTGTGGGGTCATGGAGGGAAACGGAGCTTCACTGGCGGGGTGCAGGGAGGATGGTGATTGCAGGAAACAGACAGACGCCTCTGCAGGAAGAGGTGAAGGCAGCTTACTGAGAAGAGGTGAGGATGTCGGGGAGTTCCCCAATGGCAGTGAGTTGCAGAAAGCACAGGGGAAGGTCTGTGAGGACAGGAAGGGATGTGGAGTCCAATAATACGTGTCCAGAGCAACGTGGAGGAGAGTGTCCACGTGGTGAGTGTTCACAGGGAGGCTGGCTCTGAACTGCACTGTGCTTTGTTTGTATTTTAGGTCTCTGCCCATCTTCACAGCTTATAAACTCTTTGAGGGCACGGACAATGTGTTCTATCGCTTTATACCCACTGCCTTCTATCTGATGGCTGTCACCTTTCCTGTGATCAGATGAGAGTTTAGCTTAAAGCTGGGAAGTATCAAACAAGATTGGTGCCTTTCTAGTTAATGCCCAGATGCTGAGAAATTTCCAGTTTGGCAACTCTGGGCTTACCTATATAGGCCTGGAGATTGGTCCAGAGGGACCTGCCACCTTGGGGTACAAGACCAAGTGACTAAGATGCCCCTGTGACCGTAGGGAATTAATTGGAAGACAAGTTCAGAAAAAAGGGCAAATAATAGAAACTATCAAAGTTAGAGAGCGAGACAAATAATAAATTTCAACACAGAATTGCTTTGTAAATATTCACAGAGCTGGCAACCTAACTGATCTAATCCCCATCCCCCTACCCCTGGGCAATTTTACCAGAAAAACGGTGGCTGTAGTGAATTTGCCATCTGCAATCACACTGGACGAGAAAGGACTTGTACTTGCAAGCCAAACTACATTGGAGATGGATTTACCTGCCGTGGCAGCATCTATCAGGTAACACAAGACGTATTTCCATAAAGTAAATTCCACTTTCCTAGATGTGCTAAGAATCCAGGTGGCCGAGGAATATTCAAGACCTTTGCAAAATGTAAAGCTCTATAAAAATGTGAAAGGCTATTTTTATATAAATCAGCAATGAAAAGAAATTATCCAGGGGAATTCAGTTGACTTGGGAAAGAGTGTAATGTCGTGATTAATATTGACTGACCATTCTGGAGTCAGAAACCTAGCTTTCAATTCAGCTCTGCCAGTTGGTAACGGTGTGACTTTAAGCATGTTACATCATGTCTCTGGGTATCAGTTTTCCAATCAGTAGAAGAAAATAATAATGGCACCAACCCCATCAGGTTGTTATAATAATTAAATGATGTCATATGTGTAAAGGACACAGAGTGCACAACAGCTCAGAGGCATTACATGATGTGGATTGTTTTGCGTGTGTGTGTGCACGTGTGTGCATGCACCCACCCACATGCCTGAGCATAGAGGATGAGGCGGTGTGATACTTGTAGGTTTCAGCCTATTATTAAGTAAATGGTCAGTTATTTAAAGAGGGACTAGAGCATTCTGGCTAATCAAATGTTCTTGTTAATAGAGTAACCGAATCTGCCATAAACCTGTAACTGAATTTTTTAAATATTTGAACTTTAAAAAATGTTCTCAAAACTCAGATGCTTCTGGAAATGACTGAACCTTTCTTTGATAATGATGGCAATTCCGGAAAGGTTGTGGAACTCATAATGTGTCCGCATAGTCCTTCCGGACATCAATTGTAAGCCTGTAGGTGAAGCTCCAAACAGGCCCATTGCTGCAGACTGGCAGCTGAGGGGTGGCAGATCCTCGCAACCTTAGAAAAACCATCCTGCAATAATTCTGTGTTGTTCTTGTATATAATTCAAGGCATTAAACAAAACTACTGTGTTGTTTGCAGGAGCTTCCTAAGGACCCGAAAACCTCCCAGTATTTCTTCCAGTTGCAGGTGAGAACATACGTGTCTGTTCAGCTATGACTTTCACCTCAAGCCAGATACAGGATAAACCATTAGCCTCCAGAGGCAGTGAGGGTGGAAGAAAGTCTGGGACCCTGGGTTTCTGGAGTTTTCTACATAAGAATATAGTAAGAGGTGAGAGGTGGGGATCCAGTTTCATTCTTCTGCATGTACAACCCAACTGCCCGTCAATCCATGAGTGGATTATTAAAATTTGATATATGTATACAATGGAATATTACTCAATCATAAGAAATGACAGTGATCTAGAACCTCTTATACTTTCCTGGATTAAACTTAAGCCCATTATCCAAAGTGAGGCACCACAAGAGCAGAAGAATGGGCTCCACTTGTACTTGCCATCAAATTGGTACTAACTGATCAACACTAGGGTGATCACATGGCAGAAATACTCTCCAGGGATTAGGGGGATTTGGGGCAGGGGGGGTAAATCTGCAACTAAAGGATATGGGGAGCACTGTAGGGGGGAAGGGCTTGCCTTTAACCCGCACTTGGGTGAGGCAAAGACATAAAGTGTAACCATAATGTTTGTACCCTCATAATACCCTGAAATAAAAAAAAAAAAAAAGAATATAGTAAATGAAAAAACTCCCATCATAGCAGTGGAGAAAATAAACATCACCGGGGCAACTGGTGAACACTTTGGGTGAAAATATTAGATTTGATATTTTTGTACGTCATATATCTGAATAAGTTCCAGATATATTGAAGAATAAAATATAAAAACTAGAAAAATAAAATCATAAAAAACTAGAAGAAAATTTACATAACTGTAGTAAAATATTGAAGAATAAAATATTAAAAAACTAGAAGAATAAAATCATAAAAAGCTAGAAGAAAATTTACATAGTCATAATAACCATATGATCTTAGAATTGCAAAAAGACAATCATAACAGTTAAATAAATCATCTTGATTTTTGCATTTGTATTATTTTCCCAGCTGTGTAGAATATTGACATGTGGGAGAGAGGCTGGAAAGAATAATAGGAGTTGCATCTAAGTGGTGGGATTATAGGATCTTTGTTATTTTCTTCTTTATGCTGTATTTTCAAAATCTTCGATATAACAAGCACGTGCTAATTTTATAATTAGAAAAAAACAAACATGACTTCAGTGACAGAATCTGGGTTGAATTCGAATCAAAGACTAAAATGCAAGTCTCCCCATCCAGCTTCAGCTGCCCAGGTGCCATGGGCTCTGGTATCTGTTTGAGCCTCTACCTGTATCATGCTAAGTAAGTGACCTGTGGGGCCGCCTTCCTCCCGCAGGAGCATTTCCTGAAAGACCTGGCCGGCCCAGGCCCCTTCACGGTTTTCACACCTTCATCTGCAGCCTTTGATGAGGAAGCCCAGGTAAGCACAAGACTGGGGGCAAGAGAGGAGATTTGGGGCTAGAACACAGTCTTTGGGCCTCGCCATGGAGCCAACACTGGGGATGTCTCTGGGCAGGAAACTTAGGCTCAGGTGACCCTGACCAGCAATAGAAGGTGCTGCCTTTCAGCACAGGGACCCCTGCTGGGGATGCATCCAGGAGGATTTGGGGGAACCACTGGCCAGAGACCTTCTAAAGCAGCCTTTTTGGCACCAGGGACCAGTTTCGTGGAAGACACTTTTTCCACAAACAGGAGTTGGGGGAATCAGGGACGGGGGGCAACGCTCAGGCAGGGATGCAAGTGATGGGGAATGGCTGTGTCCCGGTTCCTAACAGACCACGGACCAATACCAGTCCACAGCCCAGGGTTGGGGACAGCAGTTCTAAAGGACATCCCTGGACAAGGCAGGAGGTTAGAGAAGATTAACAATTCTCAAGTGATCCGAATCTCCCACAGATAAAAAAAAAAAAAAAGGCTGAATGGGGACAGAGAGATGCTGGATTAAAGGGATTTAAATTGGTTCTTTTCTTGCAGGATTTATCAGAGCCTTTACTGTTCTAATATTCACTGGAGCTCTTTATGCTGAATTACCCACTAATAGTAGTGATAGCTGACATTTACTGTGAGTACCAGGCACTGTTCTGAGTGCCTGGCTTAGATTAACTCATCTGATCCCCACAAGCCTGTGAATCGAGTGCTATCACTCACTATTCCCATTTTACAGCTGAGGACGTTGAGGGAATTGGCTTTCCCAAGGTCACATGACCAGCAGGTGATGGAGTAAGGACTCAGACCTCGGCCTGTGTGCTTAACCACTGCACACACTGCCTCTCGAAGCAGATATTTTGGACGCCAGCAAAGCAGAGGCACAAAAATAATTTTTGAAAGAATTTGACATTTGGTAATTCAGAAAAAAAACTATCAAAGGTGTTATCATGAAACAATGAGAACTTTGTGGGCTTCTTTACTTTGCAGTTAATAGTGTTTGTATTTTAGATTCCAAATGGAAAGACATCATGATATTTTCCAATACTGAAGGTTTAAATCTGGCCCTGGAACCTCTCCAAGAGGGGGTTTACTATGCAGTGTTTCCCAGCATATTTCGCAAGAAATTTCTCTTTTTTTGGAGGGGTGGGGAGCATCTCACAGAACTTGGGGTCTTTGCAACATGTTTTGTGAAATGCTGGAACAGAGGAACTCCGCGTTCCCTTCTGCTCCGAGATTCCACAGTGGAAGCAGAAAAGGGGCTAGGGCCACTCCCTCCCTCATGCCTGGACGGCCCCTACCCTGCAACCCGACAGCAAACCAACCCTGACTGCCTACTGCCCAGGGGCTGGGTGGGGAGAGAGGTGTAGGGTGGGGTACAGAGGCCAGGAGCCCAAAACAGCAGCTTGCAGCAAACGCTCCTGCCTCCAGCTGGAACCCTCTGCCCTTCTGTTACAGATTAAGGACTGGGACAAACAGGGCCTGATTCCCCAGATTCTTCGGTACCATGTGATCGCCTGCCACCAGCTGCTTCTGGAAAACCTGAAAATGACCCCAAATGCTACTTCCCTCCAAGGGGAGCCGATTGTCATCTCTGTCTCTCAGGTGAGAGAGGCCCCCTCAGGAACATGCCAGTTATCCTTAGGTCCTCTCTCCTCCTTTTCCATAGCGTAATGCCAGTTATTAATATAATAATAACTACAAATGGATGTTGAGTGATTTCTACATGCAGGCACCGCTCTAAGTATTTGGTATGTACTAACTTGTTTAATCTTCAAAATAGCCCTGTGATAGAGGTAATATTATTATCCTTAAATTCCAAATAAGGAAAGTGAGCTCAGAGAGGTTAAGTAACTGGTCCCAGGTCACATAGCAAGTAAATATTAGTGCTGGAATTGAAACTCAGAGGGAGGGCAGCTGCAGGCCATAAATAGACCTGCTTTTGGTACCATCAGTCAGAAACCAGAAAGGGATGAAAGCTTTCGATCAAAGCCACTTGACCATGCTGGTCCCACTCCTCCCCGCAACAGAGAAACAAATGGTGGCTGTAGAATTCATTGCAAAGGGGAAAAAAGTGGGGAGGGGGTATAGGACAAATATGAAAGAGAAACCAATATTGATCTGTTCGTTTAATTCATGTTTGAGAATCACATTGAAATGACTGTTTTGGTTGATTCTATATTATGTGCTGTTAACTTCTCTAGGTGTAAATTACATTCTTGTCTCAGTTTTCTTTGAATAATCATAAGAAAAAATGTGTTCAGGTAACTCAGATCTTCAGATTTTGCTCCCGACGATTTAAGAAATTGGCAAAGCAATTTTGTGTCTGTTTCTCTGTGCGCTCATTTCTTTTTTTCTTTGCTGGTTGATTTCAGGGTACAGTGTATATAAATAATAAGGCTAAGATCATATCCAGTGATATCATCAGTACTAATGGAATCATCCATATCATAGACAGATTGCTGTCTCCCAAACACTTGCTTATCACTCCCAAAGACACTTCTGGAAGGATTTTGGTAGGTAAACTCACTGTCATACTCTCTGCATGGACTGACAATACCTTATCACCTCAATTCTGATTTGGAGGCATCGTTTTGAAACATTTTGATTTGGCTGCTTCAATCTCAAGCTATCATTAAAGGCCTAGTAAACGTTATTCTTAGTAGTAAACAAATAAAAGTCTCTTTTAAATTGATAAGTGGATTTTCTAAGTTTTTCTTTAGTGTCCGCAAGGGCAGGTGGTCTTGCATAGATTTGAAGATGGAGATGACAGATGGATGGGTAGATAGATAGAGAGACAGACATAGATATCATCAAAACTGAACTTGGAGTAAAACTCCTTCTCAATTGACAAAAAAGGTAATTTTAACTCTTATTTTTGCTTATTAGTATTGGTCAGCGTTCTTCACTGCAGACCACAGATTACTATACTTAGCTTACACAAAAAAGAGGAGTTTCTTAAGATATTAGATATATCATCAAGACTCTGGAAGGCCAGAACCTAATTCAGATACCACACAGCTGGGAGCAAAGCAGCCCAGGGAAGCCTACAAAGGGTGGACACCTAACCTCACCACAGGGCTGCTCTGGCTGTCACATCTCTGCCACTGCCACCTGTCTCCAGCCTCATCACCGAGGACACTAGAAACGGGACCACAGATGCCTTCATCATTATGCTTGCCAGAAGGTCTGAGCCCCCTGCTGGCAGCCACTACCACCTCCTGTTATTTGTTTCCACCAACAAGCCTTGCACAAGTGTTTCTGCTCGGAGGACCCTGTATCACATATGGGCTCTAGCTGCAAGGGAGTCTAGGAAAATGTAGTGCTTAGCCTTCTGGCCTCTAGAATGCAAAAAAGCAGGCGGAAGAGAGCTGGAGTGGATGCCGATGAGCCAATCTACCTCACCAGCCATGTTAGGTTACCTTTACTTTGTCCTTTGTTGAAGTGTTTTGTAAACTGTATGAAGAAAAGTCTCATGCTCATTCTCAATGTCTTTGCAGCAAAATCTTACGACAGTGGCAATAAACCATGGCTACACCAAATTTAGCAACTTAATACAGGTAAAATCCCAGGGGAAAGGTTGACTCAGGGGATAACCGGCCTAAAGACGTTTTGTTTTGTTGGGTTTTTACATCCTCCAGCTGTTGTGAGATCTGTGTGGGGAAATCCCAGTTTTCTGGAGAGTAAAGTCATTCTCTGCCACCCCCTTCTCAAAATGTTATATGGTTGGTTGAGCTGTAGAATGTGCATTGGCTGAGTTAGAAGTTGACGTTTTTGAGGCTAGGGAGAGGGAAAGAAATTGGGGTGTGCCAGTCCCTGTACCTGGTGCTTCACATCTGGAATTACCAAGTCCATTATAGAGGTGGGGAAGCCAAGGTGGACAGTTGGAGAACCAATGGCTTGAGGCAGGTAGAAATTAAAACCGTATCTTTCTGACTTCTGAGACTGTGCCCACGAATTGAATAGAAACTTCTTGTTCAAACAAAAGATTGTAGAAGAGAATAGGGAGGAGGTCCAGGGTCCTCCTGAGGCTCCTCTGCCTCTCCCCAACCCTGAGCAGTCCCTGAAGGGTTCTAAGAACCCTGGACTCCCCCACACTATAGTCTATAAATCTTGGCATTAGACCAGCGATTCCCAAAATGGTCTTGGTCTCAGACTCTCTGGGGAGCTTTCTAGAAATGGGGATTTCAAAGTGTTCAAAATGAGAACCTCCAAGGATGTTGCAGTCAAGTCATCTTTGCCTAACTACCCACCCCTAAAACCGTATATTCACCCCGTACCTGTGCGTCAGGGTCTGGTGGAACACGGGCTTTTAAAGGAAGTTAGCAAACCTCTTGGGGCTCAATAAAAGGGGATAATAAAGCTTTCTTCATAAAGTTGTTGGAAAAATTAAAAGAAAAAAATGTACATGATGCACCCAAGTCATATTAATAGAAGGTTCTCAAAATGATTCCTCCTTCTTCATCTCACGATTTCTTTTTTGATTATATATTATCTAGAAATCTTACAAACACATGAGAGTATCTCAATATTGCACAAGTCTCAGTTTTTAAATGAAATATGAGGAAAAAATGTTAAGCTGGTCCTCCAGAAATTAAAATATTTGGGCAAGAGTAGAATTGAAAAAAAAAAAAAAAAGATAATTCACTAGAGTGTAGGTTTATTTTCCTATGAACAAAAGCCCAGAATTTGACTTTCTGATTTGCCCGCTAAGGAAATGTAGGTCAGAATGGCTGGAGAGGGATAGGCCTCTAGTTCCTGGCTGTGTCACCCTTGAACCATCCGGAGCCCCGATAAGCCTCGGGGTGGGGCACGGAGGGAAATCCTCAGAGACCCTCTGCCCACAGGCTGGGTCGGCTGCGCGAACTGTGCTCTCACCAGCGACGGGCTGACTCCCTGTGTTCCAGGACTCAGGCCTGCTGAGCATGATCACGGACCCCATCCACACCCCGGTCACTCTCTTCTGGCCCACGGACCAAGCCCTCCAAGCCCTCCCCTCTGAACAACAGGATTTCCTGTTCAACCAGGACAACAAGGACAAGCTGAGGGAGTATTTGAAATTCCATGTGATCCGAGATTCTAAGGTATTTTGTTTAAACCCAGAAGTGAGTGCAGGAATGTCCCAGGGGGGTGATAAAAGTCCCCATCTCCATGGTGTGCAGGAGGCCTCAGCAGCCCCTGTGCCACGGTGTCCTCCTCTGATTAGCCATGGTGAGTTGGCTCCTGCTGTATACCACACCTGGTTCTGTTTCTTAGACCTGCTCTTTTTTTTTTTTAATTTTAACCTATTCCCAAGAGCATCCTTCCTCTCTTCACTGCAGATAAGCCTCTTCTCTTTCCCAGTTCACGTTGCAAACTGGCTGTGGACAACAGTTCCCAAGTTTTTCCAGATGGATTCCTTCTCTTCCAATTCCAAACTTTCTAGGCAAATAAATGGCTGATTGATCCAGCTTCAATCAGTTGTTGCCCGTGAACTGATCAACTGTGTCAGAGAAGCAAGATCGTGTAGGAACATGGCAGCCACTCTGAGTCTGCAACCAGGCCCCCTTGTCTCTCTCCAGGGCTGAGTCTACCCAGCTCAGGAATAGCAAATGCCCCGACTTTCAATCATTCATAGCACCTGGACTGGTTTCCTAAGGCCACTGTCACCAATTACCACCAACTGGGCAGCTTAAACAACAGAGATTTATTCTCTGTAGCACCCAGTTCTGGAGGCTAGACATCTGGAATCAAGGTGCCAGCACGGTTATTCCTTCTGGAAGTTCTGAGGGAGAACCTGTTCCACGCTTCTCGCCTGGCTTCTGGAGGTTGCTAGAAATCCTCAGCTTGTAGGCTCATCCCTCCAATCTCTGCATCCACGGTCACATGGCCGTCTTCTGCGCGTCCTCCTCGGCCTTTCACATGGCATTCTCCTCTCTTTCTTCCTCTTTTAAGGACACTGTTCATACTGGATTAAGAGCCCTCCCTGTTCCAGGATTGCTCATCCTAACTAATTACATCTGCAGTGGCCTTATTTCCAAATATGGTCACATTCCGAGGCACTAGGGGGTCAGGACTTCAACGTAAATTTTCGAGGGGCACAATTGAGCCCGTAACAGCACCCCAGGTCATTTCCCAGCCTGACGCACCCATCCTTTCATTGGTTTCCTTTGCCAAGACTGCACCTTCCAGGGACTCCCAAGCATGCGTGGATGGGGGATGGAAGGTTCGTGAAACCAGTCAAACTCATCAGCACTTTCGCTCCAGAACAAATTTCTAACCTCCCTGAGAGCCCATGATTATTCTTCGCTTTGATGATTCCTGTAGTCATTTTGAAGCTGAAATTATTAGAACTCATGGAAAAACTTGCATCTGAATTTGACTTGTTGGCTAAGCTCCTTTGGGCCATTTTTCAGGCCAAATGTAGGGTATTAATGTGGCACCATCGCTTCCGCAGGTTTTAGCCGTGGACCTTCCCAGATCTGCCTGGAAGACACTGCAAGGATCTGAGCTGAGTGTGACGTGTGGAGCTGGCAGTGACATTGTGAGTATCGTCACAGGAGGTGGAAAGGGAGGGGGTCAGGAACACATGAACGGCAAGCCAGTCCCCAACCACCGCCCCTTCAAGGAGATGTTCGTTTTCCTTCCGTTGACAGCAAGCTCGTTTTTTCTCACCACCTTCAGAGCTGTTTTTCCTAAGAGTACATAAGTGGATATAAAAAACCTGATAAATCCTGGCCGGCCCATGCCCTCGTAGCAGGTGGCAAGAAGCCTCTTACACTTGTCGAGAGCAGCTTCCAGTTGAGATATATCTATCTATATATATACACATTTTATTTTTGTAGAGAATTTTTTTTCTAGTGTGAGACACTCACCTGAAGCAGGAAAGTATACTGTTATTTCTTTCCCTGCCTTCCCAGCCCCACTGTGGCCTCACCTCCAGCCCTCTCTTGGCAGTCAGAACCAGCTTTGCACTATACCTATCTAAATCAGCCAGTAGACAGAAGGTTTGCGGTTTTCATCTTCCCTGGCTAGTTCCTGGACAATTCTACCTTCCTGTAATTCCACACGATGCATGGGTCTAACAGGATTAGTTCAACTGCATGTAATGGCAAAGCCAAAATGACAGTGGCTTAAATATATAAGGATTTATCCTCTCTTGTAAAGGAAATCTGGAGGTAGCCAATTCAGAGCTGGTACAATGGCCCAATGGGAGAGCTGCTTCTGTTTTTCTGCTCTGCGGCCACATGGTTCCAGCCTCAAAGTCACCTCAAGGTCCACTATGGCTGCTGGGAATCCAGCCGCCATGTCCACTTTCCAGGTAGTAGGAAGGGGGAAGGGCAAAAGGGATGCATCTCCCAGTCAAGTCAATTCCCTTTAAGGAGGCATCCGACAGGTTCCATACAACCTTCTGCTTACGTCTTATGACCAGAATCCCTTTGGTGTCTGGATTAGAATTGCATTGAATTTATAGCTGAATTTGAGGAGTATTAGCATCTTTTCATTCCAACTTCTGGAAAGTTATCCCAGTGCAATTACGCTCTTGAGAGATCGCCTATACTGTCTCCATAAACCAAAGGCACACCTATCAGAGGAGGATAGTAAGAATGCCCACTGCTTGTTCTGTGTGCTAATCGGGCTTGCAGAGCACCCTGCAATATACTGTTTAGTTCGATCTGTATAACAACCCTATGCATTAGAAATCATGAACTCTGTATTTACCCGGTGGGGAAAAAAATTGAACCTCAGAGAAGTTCAGTGACTTGCCCATGGTCACACAGTACATAAGTGAACGTGCTAGGCTTTAAACCACAGTTTTCTGGTGTTTTCTACTGAGTCACAGTATCTCCATCCCATCCACAGATATTGTGAATTCTCTTTTTTCTCCCGACAAAACTATCTAAAAACATTTTATTTTCTTGGGGTGAGAGTGTATCCATGAACTTACTAGCTGGGTGACGTCAGGGAAGGAAGCCCTAGGATTACTGTAAGCATTAAATGAAATACTGTATCTAGAGCCTGCTTTAGATAATGCCTGGTACATGTGAAAAAGAAGTTATTATTATGATTATAAAGTTAAAGTCCATCACTTGTATATCCTGGAAAGAAAAATGAACCAGCCACTTTGCTGGGTGCTGGCACTGAATTAGAAAACTCGGTTACTGCACACGAGTGGCCACGTCAGCAAAGTTTATGCCGAACCACAGGGAGGTCATCCTGCTCCACCCCGTCACCCCACTGCCGACGTCTCTTCTTTGGTCAAGGTGGTGTGGCAGAGGGCCAAGGATGTAGCCCCATTTACTGGACAAGTCATTTAACCTCTCACTGCCTCAGTTTCCTCATCTGCAAATGGGTACTGATAATAGTAGCTCCATCCCAGCGTGGTGAGGATTAAAAGAATTTGCACAGGTAAAGTACTTAGAACAGTACCTGGCACACAATACGTGCTGAATGTTAGATAGATAGGTGATTGATCGATAGATGTGTATATATATTATACACAGTGTGTATATACATATGTGTGTGTGTGTGTGTGTGTGTGTGTATATATATATATATGTTTTTCCAGTTCTTCCTGAGTCTTGCAGGTGCTGGCCACATGTTATGGCCTGAGAAGAAAAGTCTGAAAGGGATTGACTATTCTCTCTCTCTCTCTTTCTCTCCCCCCATCCTTCTCTCTCTTTCTCAGGGAGAGCTCTTTCTAAACGGCCAAACATGCAGAATTGTGCAGCGGGAGCTCTTGTTTGACCTGGGCGTGGCCTATGGCATTGACTGTCTGCTGATTGATCCCACCCTGGGCGGCCACTGTGACATTTTCACTACTTTCGATGTCTCGGTCAGTCCTAAAAACAACACCGTGATAAGAGAACCTTGGGCCAAAGAACAGCCCTGTGACAGCGTGGAACCTGTTGTGAAACCACTGGAGGCCCAGAGGGCTGAGGGCCAAAGGATGGAGCTCTTCAGATTCAGAATCAACAAGCATCTACTTAGCCCCGCGTGGCCTGGAATATTCCTGTCTATCCACCCACCTGCGCATCCATTTATTCCCTTGTCATTGGTGAAACAGTTTTTGGATACCAACTGTGTGCCAGCTGTTCCACCATTCATTTTCAAATCCATCCATCTAGTCAGTCACTCACTCATTCATTCAACAAACATCTGTTCAGTTTCTGCCAGATTAAACCATATGAAATTGCCATATTTGACAGTTTGGGGCCTATAAAAATGGCAGTTTCATATGGTCAGTCTAATATCATATGCCACCCACGCCTCCATCATTTACCTATTACCTATTCATTCATTTGACAATGTTGATTGAACTTCTGTCCCAGGTCCTGCACCATTTTAAGCATTTTCACATTCACTCATTCATCCGTCTGGCACCTTTGCTGAGCCACCTTTGCGCCAGCCACTTGGCTCAATGCTCAGCTTACCCCTGCGATACTCCAATAATGGGAGTAGTTATCATCAACTCTATTATGTAAATTTGGAAATTGAGTCTCAAAGAGGTGAGGTGACTTTACGTGGCAAAGTTTGTCACCAGTTGGTATCGGTACCTGGCACTCATAGGCATTCAATAAATATCCCCAATTTTTTGGATACCATTCAGCCAAAGTAGATGCAACCATTGGGTTTTCACTATGGGGGTCTGGCCTTCTTAATTTCCAAAGTATATTCACACACATTTTTTTTTCAGTTAATCATTTTCCCTCACCAATCCCCTCAAGATCAAATAGGAGCAAGAATTATTATCCTTATTTTATAGATCATAAAACTGAGAATCAAAGAGCATAAATGATTGGCCAAAAGTATCCTGGGCTAAAGTAAAGTGGAACCAACACTTGCATCCACATTTCCCGTTGCTACCACCACGTGCCTACATGACACTGCCCTTGTCCAGCTCTGGGTAACAGGATCTTCCTCTTCAGAGAACTAAATCAAAGAGCTGAGGTCTGAGGTAGACCTTCAGAATTCTCCATGGCAAAGTTGTTTATACATTCTCGATCATAGCTAGAATCTTAATCAAGATTAACTAAGTCCTTAATCAACCCATCCAGGTATTAATCAGGGACATTTCCTTGTGTTTTCCAAGTTTCTTGATTTTTAAGTGTTTCTTTTCTTGCATACTAGGGGGATTGTGGGAGCTGTATCAATACTCCCAGCTGCCCAAGGTGGAGTAAACCAAAGGTAATTAAGAATGCAGTGATGTTTGGAGAGCCATAGGTTTGTTTCATTATCAGACCTCTGTCTTCTGGCATGTGTGAGGACGTGTGTGTGGGTGGGGGGAGGTGTTGCATGAATGTAATTTGTGTCATTCTTTCAAAAACCAAGCCAAAGAGGTGAGAGATGGACATTCTCAGCCCAGGCAATCTGTCAACCTACTACCCATCTCTTAGGACTGTCTAGAAAAGTCATGGGATTGTAGGCCCAGAAGGGACTTCAAAGATAATTATAATTATAAAAGTAATAGCTATATTTTGTTGGCTATTTTCTACATCCCAGGCTTTGCTGAGCTCTTTATATATTCATTGTTCCTATTCCTCATTATATCGCTTGTAGGAAGCTATTACTACCTATACTTATGAAAAACTGAGTCTCAGAGAAGGTAAGCAATCAGCCCAAGGCCACACAGCTAGTAAGGAGCAATGCTAGGATTAAAGATCAGAAAGCAATGGAGAGCAATGGTTAAGCCAGTGAAATTTGGAGTCCACGGGTATGCGGTCGAATTCCAGTAACTTATACCAAGTCACAGGATCTATGAGTTTTTCCTCTGTAAAGTGGAGCTGGTGACAATTCTATAAGCAGTTATTAAGAAAAGTAAATTTCAAAATGTGAGTACACGTAAGTGCCTGGCACGTAGTAAGTGCTCATTAAATATTGTTTTTTATTACTTATTCCAAAGTCAAGCTCTTTCTACTCCACTAGCAAAACCTATAACAAAACAAAATGGAATTTATACCCTCCTTGCGGCACACCCTTCCCTGATAGGAAGCTCCCTCCGCTCTCTCCCTCCCTAGGCATACGCACCATTTGCAAGCCACCATAAGGGTCAGAAAGTTCTTCAGTTCTTCCTCTTGAGTCTGGGGAGAAATCTTCCCGTGGACTCTAGCTTTGCCCCTTCCCCATCCATGTGCTTCTGCCATTGGCCTATTGACTCCCCTAAGAAAAATATTTCCTTTAAAAATTTTTTTTTAAAAAAAATAGCTGGCTCCCATTGGAAGTCCCATTTTCGACTCTGGCGGTATCTGGGATCGTCCACTGGGAGGCGGACTAGAGACCCAGAGCCCCCGTCCCCGCGGTGGAAAGTGGAGGGATGGTCTGCTCTCTTCCTTCAGGGTGTGAAGCAGAAGTGTCTCTACAACCTGCCCTTCAAGAGGAACCTGGAAGGCTGCCGGCAGCAGTGCAGCCTGGTGATACAGCTCCCCAAGTGCTGCAAGGGCTACTTCGGGAGAGACTGTCAGGGTGAGGGCACCTCCTCCTGCCTCATGACTCTAACGGGATTGTGTTCTCACTGTACGGCATTTGAGAGTACCAGAATTATAAAGAGCTGGGGGAAACACTCCCAGACCCCAAAGCAATCACTCTAAGGAGTTGTATCATTCCTTCTACTTTGTCCATTTGGCATATTTTGGGGTTTTTTACCAAATTGAGATTCTACCGGGTGTGTATTATAATTGTGCATCTGATTTTTGCTTAGCATTGGAACATACAAGCATTTCCCATGGAGCTAAAGACATGATGCTGATAAGCATGTCTGTTTCAGTGTATTCGATACGATTCTCCCTTGGCAGGTGATACACTGACACAGCACATGTGAGCCAAAATTTCCTGAGAGCCCCCCTGTTATAGGACATATGGCATTGTCCTCCCTCCATTACCTGACCAGGAAAGGGCTCTTTGCCAAAGGGTGTTTGGGCCCATCCTGAAAGCCCTGTGCTGGCTACAACTCCTAGCCAGTAATGCATCAACAGCGGCAGCATGACAAATGCCTACAGGGCACTTCCCATGTGCCACACGTTGTTCTAAGTAGGCACATTTACTGAGTGTTATTTCCCACGGATAACAATACATTCACTCTAGGCAGCAACCCCTAGGGAATAGGTTCCGTTGTTGTCCCCACTTTGTAGATGAGAAAACAGAGGCACAGAGAGGATACGAAGCAAGCCTGAGGTTCCACGGTCTGCCTCCAGATACCGTGATTTGTACTGCCATGCATACTCCGCTCACTGTACCCTCACTGAGAGCACTCTGTCTGGACTGAGAGGCCATGAAGTCACCCAGCAAGCACCAGCCCCCATCACGAAAGTGTGGGCCATTCATAAAAAGCTATGTCATCCCTTGTATTTGTTCAGTGCTTTATATTTTCAAAATGCTCTTAGTTATCGTACCTTATTTCATCCTCACAATAACAATGTGATATAGGTCAAGCGGGCACTATGTTATCATCACCATCACCGTTATCATCATCTTCTTCATCATCATCTAGAGCTAAGAAAACTAAACCTCAGAGCAAGTTCATTACTCAGCCCAGATCTACTCAAGTCCAAGTGTCCCGACCCTCAAATACAGGGCCCAGTTCAACATATCCCCCTGCCAAGGTAGATTCATGTCAGAACATTGAAGCTCACATCTCCTAGGCCAGCGGCTTGCCCTAAATATCCACTGTCACCCAGGGCCACCGTTAGCCTCTGGGCTAACGGTTTGCAAAGGCGCTGAGCTGCTCTGGGCCTGGAAGACCGTTGAGTTGCTGCTGTTTCTTCTCTTCCAGCCTGCCCTGGAGGACCGGAGACCCCGTGTAATAACAGGGGTGTCTGCCTCGATCACTACTCGGCCACCGGAGAGTGTAAATGCAACACCGGCTTCAACGGGACAGCGTGCGAGCTGTGCTGGCCGGGGAGATTCGGGCCTGACTGTCAGCGTATGTGGCGCCGCTTCCCCGTGCTGTCACCTGTTGTCTAGCTCATCTACACCATCCGCCTGACCTATTAATAATCTTTTAATGTTTGAATGAACAAATGACCATGACATGAGCACGGTGCCTCCCACGCTGAAAATGCAGCCAGCGGGTGGTCAGCGGGGCTGTTGGGTTCCAATCCCTGATCGCTGGTTGCTGATCACGCTGTAATTTGTCTTACAGCCTGTGGCTGCTCGGACCACGGACGGTGCGACGATGGCATCACAGGCTCCGGGCAGTGCCTCTGTGAAACGGGGTGGACAGGCCGCTTCTGTGACACCCAGGCAGGTCTGTCATGGGAGTGCCTAGCCGCTGGCGGCACCGGGCGGCAGCGGACCCTCCTGAGAGCGTCCAAGTGAGGTTGGGGGTCTGAGTGACATTTGAAAAAAATGACAAAGCAGGTGTTCTCGTTTCCACATGGAAAAGGTGATTTGGATCTGTGGCCCTGGGTGTCAGGAGGTTGGCGACCTAAAAGAAAACTGGATGAAAAGATTTAAGTCAAACCCATGAAACCGGCATGTCCTCCTGTGCAGTTAGAGAAGGACCCACCTCAAGCACAGAATCCCGGGCTCAGACAAGGACGGCACCTTTTCAGGGTGGTTCTCGGGCCCAGATGGGTGCTGACACAGAGGCTGAGTGGTTTTGTAGACAACGGCAGTCTCTGGAGTCCCAGATCAGGGACTGACCCCTTCTGCGTACTGGATGAGCGGCCTCAGCCGGCTACCCGCTCTGAGCCTTGCCATGTTCAGCTGTCAAAAGAAGTGCGTAGTGTGTGGGGTGCTGAGAAACAGCAGCTGCCGTATCGTTGTCATCGTTATCATCGTTGTCATGTCTTGATCCTTACTAAGCGGCCATTTCTGAGGTCTCCCCACACCCCGAGCCCTATGTTCTGGAAGGTCTGAGATGTGAAGGATAAATGATCCGATGGGAATCACTGTTATTTCATCCTCCCTGGGGTCAGAGGGCAAGAAGAGGCTCTTCCTATGGGCTTCGGCCACCTGAAGTTTCGGGAATTCCCACAGTGTGGGTAATTCGGTTCGTCCTTCTCCCCCTCCTCCTGCCTCCTCCCCTAAACGCCCCATGGCTTCATGCTCCCTGTGCGCACCGCAGCCCCTCCCTCCCACTGCCAAAGCGTGGACTTCTCCCTAGCTCAGTGGTGCCCTCAGAAAGCCATGGAATTTCCCCCTCCAATTTTACCATCTGCGTCTGGAACCCCGTGTCCTTTGGGCCAGAGAGCTAATGTGCCAAGTTCATCCCTGCTGGCTAGTTTTGAGGTATCAGGTTTTAATTGGTTGCCCCTAAAAGTGACATATTTGCCTTTTAACCTGGATAATGTTGCAGAGATAGGGTCTTAATATAAAGGAGTAATCTTAGACCCTCGAATCTCCAGGCTGGATGGGAACTTAGCAAATCATCCTGTCCTCCTGCTATACAGGGCTCTTACGAACACAGTGGCAGGCCAGAGACAGCATCTTGGGAAATCTCCGTGGGCGTCCCCACTGGTCACACCAGGGGTGCAGGATGAATGGTGGCCCCTTTCCTTGCAGCTCTGCCCCCCGTGTGCACACCTCCTTGTTCTGCTCATGCCACCTGTAAGGAGAACAACACGTGTGAGTGTAACCTGAACTATGAAGGTGACGGAATCACGTGCACAGGTGAGTCCCCTTCGTGCACATGTGACGTAGCAGCGTGGTACAGGAGAGGAGCAGGACTTGGTCTCGGTGCCTGGGCTCCACCGTGGCTCTTCTACTTCCTTCCTGGGCTACTTCAGCAATACCTACCCACTCTGAGACTCAGTTCCCCTAGTGGGTTTTCGCATGCTTGACCTGCCCACCTCCCAGGACAGGGGGTTAAAATTGCTTTGCAAACTGAAATGCACTTTATTTTATGGTGTTTTTCTAACTCTACAAGTAATCCACTCTTCAAAAAATTCAGAAAATACACTACACTATTTTTTTAAAAAGTTAAATCTACACATACTCTCGCCGCTCAGTGAGAACCACTGTGAACATTGCAATGTCTGCCTGCAGCAGTTAGGATACAGGTTCAGCCATCCAGAGACCCAAATGAACAGTGGCATAAACAAGGCAGATGTTGCTTTCTGTCTCAGATAACAGTTTGGAGGGAGGCATCCAGGCCTGACACAGTTTCAGTCCAAAAGTTCATCTGGGGGCCCAGACTCCTTCTATCTTGTTGCTCTGCCTTGCTCATTTGCCTGGTCTGAGATGGCCACTACCATAGGCACATCCCAGGCAGCAGGATGGAGGAGGGAGAGAAAGGAGGCAAACCTCCTTCCCTTTAAGAAAACAACCTAGAAGTTGCTAAAAGCCATGTCTGCTCCCATCCCATTGGCCGGAACCTCATCCTCAGTCACACCTTGCTGCAAGGGAGTATGTAGTCTTTTGTTGGACAACCATGAGCCCAGCTAGAAATCTATTACTATAGAAAATGGAGAGCATAGGTATTAGGGGAAAGTTAGCAGTCTCAGCCACGTGTACTTTCTAATGTTTTTCATGAATAAATAACTCATATAGAAATATATACTTTCTTTACACAAATTAGATCTTGCTATACTTGCTGCTACAAGGCATTTCGGAAGTGGTCAGCACTCAACAATGGCAGCAAAGACCCAGGTTCTTTCTATCCTGCCATGCCTAGGGTGAGGCTTTTTGTCCTCAGATTTATTCTTCCAGATCTCAAGTTGTTGCCACGACTCTATGCATAAACGCAGGCAGGAGAACTTGGGCAGCTCTCCATCTACTTCTGAGGCTAGAACTAATCTATGGTTGGGTTGAAATTTGAGGGATCGTGAAAACAGAGACCCTAAGAGGAAGTAACTACACAATGTGGAGAACATGGTCTTTGGACCCCAACCAACCTGGGTTTACATCTCAGCCCTGCCACCTTCTGTCTGTCTTACATTTGTACCTTTGTCAGGTCAGTCAAGCCCTCTGAGTCTCAGTTTGTTTATCTGTACAATGGAGGTAACAATATCTATCTCACAAGGTGCTCAGTAATTGCACTAACTCTACACATATACGCGTGCTCACACACACACATACACAAACAAACTCTGTCCTAACATTAAAAACCCAAACTCATTCTGAAAATTGTTACCAATGTGGGACCCAGAGGTATGTGACAAAGGGGCCAGAAGTGGACAGATGTGACCAGGCCTGGTCTATGAGGATGTCACAAAATTATTACTGTTGCAAAGGCTAGCATGGGGGGCACAGGACATGGAGAGAGAAGACACCGACACATGGGGGCCCATTTACTGGCGCTGGGGTGACCCATACCGCTGACCTGAAGCCCTAGTCACATAGATGGCGGCAAGTCGAGCCCCCTCTCCCTGCTCTTGCAGTTGTGGATTTCTGCAGACAGAGCAACGGGGGCTGTGCGAAGGCTGCCAAGTGCTCACAGAAGGGCACGAAAGTGTCCTGCAGCTGCCAGAAGGGCTACAAAGGGGACGGCCACAGCTGCACAGAGATAGACCCCTGCGCGGATGGCCTCAATGGGGGGTGTCACGAGCATGCCACCTGCAAGATGACAGGCCCGGTGAGTCACTCTCCCCCCGGGGAAATTTGAGAGCAGCCCCTGTGTCTCTCTCAGCCTCGCCTCTCCACCTGCTGGGCTCTGCTTACCGTTCAGCCACTTCCTCAGCTTTCTTCCCACCCCAGTCTGTTTCAAGTTCAAAGTCAGTGGGCTAAATACAAGGTGGTATCCTAGGCAGAAAAAGGACATTAGTGAAAAACCTGGCACAATCCACATAAAGTGTACAATTAGTTAAGAGTAATGTACCAACATTAATTTCTTGGTTCTGGCAGCTGTGCTACGGTTATGTTAGATGTTAACATTAGTGGACAGAGCGTAGAGGGGAACTCCCTATGTTGTCTTTGCAACTTTTTTATAAATCTAAAAATTATTTAAAATAAAAGGTTTATTAAAACAAAGAAAAATTGGTAAGAAAAGTGCAAGTTTGGGCCCTCACTCAAGTCTTTTCGGAATGGGGTCCACGCCCCTCCGTTTGTCCAGTGGGGAGAGAAGATGGCATGGGATATGTGTGTTCATGGTTACAGACGCGGTCTCAGAGTCAGACCGCCTTCGAGTCTGAGCTCCTGGACTGACAAGCTGTATGGCCTGGGGCTAGCTACTTCCTCTCTCTGAGCCTCAGTTTCCTCATTTGTAAAGCAGGCTTCCTAATAATACAGACATAGTAGGGTCTTTGTGGGGATTAAATGAAATCATTCATTGATTCAACCAGTGGTCATCTGGCACCCCCTATGCACTACTGCAAGTCCCAGGGGTACCACAATAAAAAGACAGACAGGGTCCCTGCCTTTCTGGAGCTTATGAACAAGTAGAGGGAGGGGGCGATGCTTAGGACAGAAACAGATGCACAAAGTCCTTTCAGAGAGCACAAAGAGCTATGAATGAAGAACGTAAATCAAGCCAATGTGACAGAAGAATCTGGAAAAGCTATTGTATGTAGGGTGGTCAGGAAGGGGCTCTCAGGAAGTGACATTAGAACTGGGATGTAAAGGATGACATTTCATCACGGGCCTGTGTAAAAGCAAGACGTAGCAGTTATTTCACCCCCCCAGACAGGAGAACACAGTCTCTTAGTCCTTCTGAACTCCCCCTTGCTGGGCGGTGGTCCCCAGGGCACTCGGGATTCTGGGAGTCCTGGAAAAGGGGCTTTTTCCTCTTCTCCCACTCTCACCCGCAGGGCAAGCACAAGTGCGAGTGTAAAAGTCACTACGTGGGGGACGGGCTGGACTGTGAGCCGGAGCAGCTGCCCATCGACCGATGCCTGCAGGACAACGGGCAGTGCCACGCGGATGCTGACTGCGCTGACCTCCACTTCCAGGGTCAGTGTGACCAGCGGCTTCTGGCCCACAGCACCCTGCTCTGCAGGCCTGGGGGAGGGATCTGTGCAAGGGGAAGAAAAACAGAAAATCAAACCGCACTGCTCAGGCCCGGTGGAGGCAGCAGGCCTCCGTAGCAGAGGGACAGAGAAGCTCAGAATTGGGTCTTGAGCCATTAGAACCAGGAGAGAACTCAAAGGTTGTCTATGGTGAATTTTCCTAATACTTGCTTTTCCCAAGTTGCTTAGTAACGCTCGCAGCCCTTGACTGGAATTGAATCTAAGCACAGTTTAGGGCGTTAAATGACAAAGAAAGGCTCGCCACCTGCAGAAGCAATTTCTTAGCAGTGGTTTTGGTAGTAACACGCTGGTTGGTATAGACCCCATTTACTTCCAAGGATGGTTTGAATGGCTTGTAATAAGCGGCAGGTGTAATAAAACTAAGAATCATAACACACAAAGGAAAAAGTCGCATAGAAGTGCAGAGGCCTGGGCGATAGGGCATCTTGAAACCCGGTGGAGGAAGCCATAAAGGATTCACAAATGCTGTCCTCAGCCAGGACAAAGAGGGACTTCAGAGGTTCAGGAGGTGACTCAGGGCACTGCACGTTGTGGCTGATCAGTATTTATTGGGTGTCTCTGACTGCGGTTGGGGTTTCTTTGACAGATGTGGTCATTTTCAAGAGGCAGTTTACATACCTCAATAACAAATGTTGACTTAAAAACTTGTTATCTACCAAGTCCTAAGACATCTCAAATCCCTTCTGGGTGAGATGAGAACATAGAAGCAGGGAAAAGACATAGGGTATATAAGACACTGTCTGTTCTTGCAAGGAGTTTCGCAGTGTAGTTTTTTAAATGAATGAGGCAAGGAAAAGAAAGTTATAAGGCAGAAGACAGCAATTTATCTCGTGCTGATGGTGCAACTGAAACAGAGTGAGAATTGAAAACAGGGAGTTGAAATAGATATTTGGACACCAGTATTCACAGCAGTATTATTCACAATGGCAAAAGGAAGAAGCAACCAAAATTTCCATCAACAAATGAGTAGGTACGATGGAATATTATTCGGACTTGAAAAGGAATGAAATTCTTATATGTGCTACAACGTGGATGAACCTTGAAAACATTATGTTAAGTGACATAAGCCAGGCACAAAAGGGCAAATATTATACGAATGTCCATGTCTGAGGTACCTAGAATAGGCAGATGCATAGAAATTCGTAGAGACAGAAAGTAGAATGGAGGTTACCAGAGGCTGGGGAAGGGGAGAATGGGAAGTAATTGTTTAGATGGGTGTAGAGTTTTTGTTTGGGATGATGGACACATACTAAAAATGGATAAGTGGCAATGATTGCACAATATTGTAAATATACTTAATGCAATTAAGTAGTACAATTAAAATGGTCAAAATGGTAAATTTTCATGTTAGACATATTTTATCACAATAAAAAAAAATAGAGAGGCTGGGTATAGTGGCTCACACCTATAATCCTAGAACTTTGGGAGGTTGAGGTGAGATGATTGCTTGAGGTCAGGAATTTGAGACCAGCCTGAGCAACATATTGAGACTTTGTCTCTACAAACTATAGAAAAATTAGCTGGGCATGATGGTGCACACTTGTAGTCTCAGCTACTCGGGAGGCTGAGGCAGGAGAATACTTGAGCCCAGGAGTTTGAGGTTGCAGAGAGCTATGATCATGCCACTGCCTTCATGCCCGGGGAACAAAGCAAGACCCTGTCTCTAAGAAAATAAATAAATAAATAGTCAGAGAAGGGAAAGATCTGTAGGTAAGATGAGAGAAGGAGTCTTCAGACTTCCATTAAGCCTTCAGAGAGACTTAATAGAAGCCTGGGGCTGTGGAGACTTGATAGAAGCTTGAATTGAGCTAAACACAAAGGAGCTGGCCAGGCACTTCTGCAGGGGCGGACCTCATGGACAGGACAGAATTATCAAGGGCCAGCAGAGAAGAATGAGGCCATGCGGAGGAGATATCAAGGCTGCGACCCCAAAGTAGCAGGGTCTGTACTGAGAAGAGGAAGGAGACCAGGGAGAAAGGACGTGCACTGGACATAGAACAGAGAAAAGGAAAGGCTGGACCACGATGTAAGGTTTCCATCTGAGAGACCAAATGCAGTGGTGGCAGTGGGTTAAAGCAGGAGGGGATGAGAAGTTCGAAAGCTTAATTGGGATCATTCTGTGTTCAAGGTATTGGCAGGACTTCCAAGCAGAAAGATGTGATAGGCAGTTGCTGCTTAGGACGGGAGCAAAAGTGAGCAGCTTTGACCAGTTGATTTGGGAGTTATTTGCCTCCCCTGGGGAGGGTGAAGTCAAGATATGCTTAGGTTTTTCTTTAGGGCACAGTTCATTCAGCCCGTCCTGCCTGTTCCAAGGTGAAAACCTATCAAGGTCATGGAGCATCGTCCAACTTTTCCGGGAGACTTTTCTCTTCTGCTTTCTTATGAATGCCAAGAAAATGCTGGCAATGACACTGAGCATTGCACTGGACCTGCCTTCTGTTATAGCCGAGTGATTACCGTGAGCTTGCGATAACAGCCCAGCTTTCCCCCGAGGCACAGTTACAGAACCACCCACATTCAGGAGGAAGTGCCCACTCTCACACGGTTCATGGGAGGGCAATCTCGTAGAGTCTTTATGGCAACCAATTTGGCAATGTGTGCAACAGAGAGCCTTAAAATAACTCATACTGAGACTTAGTAGCTCCATTTCTGGGAACCCATACTACAGAGGTAATCTAAGAATTGAATAAAGATAAACATACCCACCCCAGCATTATTTAACATCACAAAAATTAGAAATAAAATATGTACCTAACAGTAAAGAATGATAAAATATACTGATACACATCCACTCGAATCCACTATTAAGAATTGTGTTGTCTCAACAAGGACATGAGGAACACCTGTCCACAAGATGTTGTATCGGTAAACATCTGCATTTCAGATATGGCCAAGATCACATGATCTATGGATTGTGCTTTTGGGCTATGATCAGTCCAGAAAAACTTAAAGTTGGCCTTTTTTGGTGCAGAAAATATCCATTTTGTGGCATTTTATAATGAACTTGACAATATAAAAATGTGACTTGGTTCTTGAACTATTTCTGATCTATTTCTGCACTCAATTGTTTGGGTAGAAAAGATATCAGCTATGAACAAATGATAAAAATCTTCCAGTGTCTTAGGAGGGAAATGGATTTTAAAAAGATCTTTTTCTAAAAGGCATAGCAGTGATCAGAAAATATACCGAGTCCTTGGCAGAAATTCACTGTAATGTATTTTTTTTCATAGCTGAAAGGTCACAAAAATTATTAAATTGTTAAGTGTAGGGGAGGGAATCGTGTTGCCAGAGAAAATTTATAATATTGAGAAATAATCATGATTATCTTTTTTTCTTTTGAGACAGGGTCTCACTCTGTTGCCTGGGTTAGAGTGCAGTGGCGTCATCATAGCTCACTGCAACCTCAAACTCGAGGGGCTCAAGTGATCCTTCTGCCTCAGCTCCAGAGTAGCTGGGACTATGGGCATGCACCACCATGCTCAGCTAATTTTTTTTTAATTTTTTTAGAGATAGGTCTCACTATGTTGCTCAGGCTAGTCTCAAACTCCTGAGCTCAAGTGATCCTCCTGTCTTAGCCTCCCAAAGTGCTGAGATTACATACATGAACCACTGCGCCTGGCCCATGATTTAATGTTAAGTTTAGAAAAGATTTCTGAAAACTTTATCTGCAATATGTTACCGTATTTATAATATATACAACATATAGATGAATAGGAAAAAAGACTGAAATAATGTGAAATGATGTCAAAATTAAAAGTTATCCAAAAACAAAGTAAAAATTCTGGAAGGAAGTATACCAAAATGTTAGCCATGGAGTAATGATTATTTCCAGGGAGTAAGATTATAAGGTGATTTTTGTTTATTTCTTTTTTTACTTTTCTGTATTGCCCTGATTTCTATAATGAACATATACTATTTTTATCATTAGAAAAGAAATAAATATTTTAAATGATGTGATTCAACATAACTTGAAGGGGAAGTGGCTTCCAAAGACACCCTGCGGTGCAGCTGGCTTTCCACTTCGAAAGTCTTCGAAGTCATTTGCTGGGAACAATGCCACCCAGGTGGGCGGACGTGGACGATTCCTTTCCTCCCCTGTCTAGATACCACCATGGGGGTGTTCCATCTACGCTCCCCACTGGGCCAGTACAAGCTGACCTTTGACAAAGCCAGAGAGGCCTGTGCCAACGAAGCTGCGACCATGGCAACATACAACCAGCTCTCCTATGCCCAGAAGGTGGGTTCCCAGTTAACAGACACTGTTCAGGCAGAGTCAGCAGGGGAGGAAGTTCAGCCTCTTCTTAAGATGGGGGAGACTTGGCCTGTCACCTTCTTGGAGGGGAGCACAGGAAGTTCCCGGAGCAATAACAATCATCACATCCATTTGTCGAGCATCTGCTATGTGTCAGGCACTGTGCAGGGTGCTTCCTCGACATTATTGTCCATCCTTACAACATCCCTGCAGGTAGGGGGAACATGCCAGGTAGGACAGGGATTTCAATGGCTTGATCAAGGCCACACAACCAGCAGGCAGGAGAGCAGAGATTCAGACCCTCCAAGGTGCTGGGTCCTGGCATCAGAAGTTTTGTTCCTTGGTAAAGAGATAACAGGTATAAAGAAAAATAAAGAGATTTGAGAGTGATGGAGCTTGGAGGAAAGGCCTTAAAATCATACCTTGTAGGCGTTCATCTCTGTTCCCAGTGAGAAATTGCCAGCTTGAAACTCCGAGGGACTGGCTTTGCAAATGGGCAGGCAGGGCTTCTGGGTTTGGAGGTTAACAGAGCAGCCCTGTGCAGAGAGCTCCATTTCCTTCCTGCTGTGGCTGAGAGCTTGTGCAGTCCCCATTCATTCCCTTCGCAGCCCCTCCAGCCACGGAGAGCTTGGGCTACTCCAGAGAAACTCGGCTGCTTTGTGGGCTCAGGGAGATCCTGCCTAGGCTTGTGGCTGTTGATCCCTTCCTGGTTTCCGGCTGTGAGGTGTGCACCTCGAGTCTGCCTCTGCCTTGGCAGTTGAAAGTCATGATTGAGAATAGACTTTTGGAGTCAGGGCTACATTTGAATACTGGCTGTGCCACCTCTTGGCTGGGTGACTTTACTTAACCATTCTGAGCCTCAGTTTCCCTATCTGTACAATGGCATCTACCTTGGTACCTACAAGAAAGAGAGGGCACCACTTTCATTCATCCAGTGGCTCAATCAACAAAAATTTAATGACCACCTACTATGTGCCAGGCGCAGGGGTACCATAGGCAAGATGAGACTGACTTCATGGAGTTTATGACTTGTTGAGGAAATCAGACATAAACCAAATGATCCCACAATGAATATGAAATTGCTGCTCATCCATGGCCACATCTGTGTCCCTGCAGGCCAAGTACCACCTCTGTTCAGCAGGCTGGCTGGACAGCGGGCGGGTTGCCTACCCCACCGCCTTCGCCTCCCAGAACTGTGGCTCGGGTGTTGTCGGGATAGTGGACTATGGACCTAGACCCAACAAGAGTGAAATGTGGGATGTCTTCTGCTATCGCATGAAAGGTAACTGCCCCCGCTACATTCAGGTTCCAGGCCGTGCAGCTGCTGAGCAATCCTCAGCCTGGCCAGCCACTCACCAAGGCGGGGCAGGGTAGCCAGGCTCCTTCGTCACTGGGGGTGGGGCCCTGTGTGCTCTGCCCTCCAGATGTGAACTGCACCTGCAAGGTGGGCTACGTGGGAGATGGCTTCTCGTGTAGCGGGAACCTGCTGCAGGTCCTGATGTCCTTCCCCTCACTCACGGACTTCCTGAAGGTGTGTACCATGTCTGCTTGGTTTTGCCTCTAGGAGGCAGGGGTTGCCTCAAAGCAGGTATTGGAGGGGCGAGTCCTTGAGAGAAGCCAAAGGCTCATAGTCATGGTTAAGGGCATGGGCCCCGGACCACTTCGCCTAAATTTGAAGCTTGGGTTTGCCACCCACTTGCTACATAACTTCAAACAAGTTACTTTCCTCTCTGGGCCTCAGTTTCTTCATCTGTAAAATGGAGATGAAGGTAGCACCAACTTCATAGAGTTATTGTGATAATTAGATAAATTCATACCTCTGAAGCATTTAGACCTGTGGCCAGTATATGGAAAATTCTATATTGATGTTAGTTGGTACTATCATCTCTGCTTGCATCTAGAGCAGTTTAAGAGTCTGATCTGCGAGGATGAGACACACTTTTGCCTTCATGAGCAGGGTGGGCACAGTTAGCTACATCTGCCCAGTTATCACTCACTGAGCCAAAGCAGCATGGGGCCTGTTTGCATTTTGCACTGTACTCATGTCGCTATCCTACAAGTCACATCCAGTGAAGAGAAAGCCCCATTTGGAGGAGGATTTGGTGTTGACTGACCAAAGAACTGAGCTAATAATAATGACAACAATAACAGCAGCTAACATTTCTTGAGCATTCACTTTGTACAAGGCGCTGCCCTGAGCCCTTTGCAAGGACATTTCATTCACGCCACAGAACGTAAGCTCCACAAGGGAAAGGATTTCCTCTGCTTTGACCGCCATTGTCTCCCAGACACATCAGATAGTAGCTGGCACCTGCTGGGTGCCCCATAATCACCTGTTAGAAGGAATAAATCCTCATGCAACCTTATGAGGTCACTTCTTCTAATATTTCCATTTTTTAGATGAAGATACTGAGGCTTAGCAAGATCAAGGATAAAGCCTAACACCCCCGAGCTGGGCTCAAACCCAGCCAGCCTGGTGCCAGACTCACTCTCATCCTTTATTGTGGGAACAAGGGCAGCCAGTGACTGGGCCACTGTCCCCAGCAGAACCGACAACCAGTGAGGAGAGGGGACTGGGCATGAGTATATGGCTTGCAGGATCCACTCAGGAGCTAGATCAAGGACAGGAAAATGGTGAGCCTTTGCCCAGGGACCAAAGGTATCTGTCTCACTGGTCTAAAACTCAGGGCCACCATAAATACACTAACAATAAACACCCACACCAATGTTTCTGCTGCATGGGAGCTTGGCTTGCGACAGCATTTCAAGCAAAGACAGTGTCAGAACAAAACCCTTCAGCAAATCACTCCCCTTCTCTGAGCCTCAGTAGCGCTGCCTGAGCAATGACAAAGTAAAACTGGGTGAGGCGACTTCTTGAAAGTCATTCAGTGAATATTCGTTGAGCAATTACTATGTGCTCGAGATACATCAGTGAACAAAATAGGCAAACAAAATAAGCAAGAAACAGAACAAACAAGTAAATAGTATTGAATGCATATCCGATGGTAAAAGCAAACGTGGTGCATGGGTGGGGGGCACCCCCAGACCCCTGTTCTGTGTGGAGGGATGGGGGTGGCATTAGGGAGAAGGGGACATGTGAGCACAGTGTAAACAAAGGAGAGGGATTGGGCTGTGCAGACTTGGGGGAAGAACTTCCCAGGCAGAAGGAACACTGGGCAAAGAATGGACGGCAAGAGCATGGCGGGCCAGTCTGAGGAGCAGCAAGGAAGCCCAGATGGCTAGAACAGGGTGAGTGAGAGGGGACAGCAGGGCACAAGCTCCAAGGAGCAACAGTGGCCAAATGTTTGGGGTCTCAAGGACCGTTAGGGACACTTTCTTCCTCTGAGTGAAGCGGGGGCCTTTGCAAGGTTTGAGAAGAGGAAACTCAAGATTTGACCCACGTTTCAAAGGACTGCTCAGGCTGCCATGTTGAGGATGGTCTGGGATGCAGCTGTGTCTTAGCCCATAAGATTTTCTGAGGAAAGGAAAAGCCCTCCTAGAACTCTCCCGAGGGGTAGTCAGAAGACACAGCACAGGAGCGGCAGCCTGAACAGGAATAGTCCTGGGTGGGTGATGCCCTGCAAGCCTCTCCAGCTGCCCTGGTCCTCGCACGCCAGGGCTGGCCCGTCTGATGACTTCCTTGCTCTCCCCAGGACGTGCTGGCCTATTCCAACAGCTCGGCCAGAGGCCGGGCGTTTCTGGAACACCTGACTGACCTGTCCATCCGTGGCACCCTCTTTGCGCCACAGAACAGCGGGCTGGAGGGAAGTGAGGTGAGTCAGGTCCCTGGCACCTGCGCTTTAGATTATTAGCATCTGTTATCTGTCACCACAACAATGCTGTGTCTGTCGCAAATTACCCCAGAACTCAGTGGCCATACGTTTATTTAGCTCAGACTCCTGCGGATCAGCTGTCACTCCTTCCGCCTTGCCATGCTCGGGTCTGAGACCAGCTGTCAGAGGCTCTGGCTGGCCCAGCGATGGCTCTGCTCCATGGGGCTGTCACCCTCCAGCAGGCTAGGCTGGGTATGTTCTCGGGGCACTGGCAAGGAGCAAGAGTGGCCAGAGAAAGCCCCCTCATCCTCCCAGGTGCTTCTCAAGCCTCTGTTTGGTCGCATTTGCTAACATGCCCCTGGCCCAACAGGTCACGTGGCTGAGCCCAAAGTCAAGGTGGGAGGCACTCAGAGTTACATGGCAAAGGGCGAGGATCTGGGGTGGAGGGAGAAACCAGGGCCACTGATGCAGTCGCTCTACCACACAGTCACGGCACACGTAACGTGAGGAATTGGCGGTATGTACTCAGTGCACCCACAGATGGCTGACCTGCAGGCTCTGACAGCCCCACCGGCTGCCCCAGGGCGGAGAGGAGCAATCCTTCTGCCCACCTGTTGCCCATTCAAGACACTCTCTCTTCCCAGGACACCATTGGGAAGCTCTGCTTTAGACAATAAAGATGACTTTCAATCCCACATCCTAGCTATAGGTGAGCTGTCGGCAGAGCCCAAACAAACAAAAGCCTGAGAAAAACTCGACATTTCCTGATCTCCAGCCGGATGCAGGAAAGCCAAGGCCATGAGAAGTGATCGTTGTTCTCTGTCGTATTTATCATTAAAAAAATGAAATAGTTTCCTTTGCATGCACCATTAAGAAAAAAGGAAAAAGACAAAATATTGTTTGGCTTTTTTTTTTTTAATTTCAGCATATTATGGGGGTATAAATGTTTGGTTACGTATTTTGCCCTTGCCCCACCCAAGTCAGAACTTCAAGCGTGTCCATCCCCCAAAAAGACCATTCTTGTGTTTCTCCTTTCCTCTCAGACCCTGTCTGGGCGGGACATCGAGCACCACCTCTCCAATGTCAGCATGTTTTCCTACAGCGACCTTGTCAACGGTACCACCCTGCAAACGAGGCTGGGAAGCCAGCTTCTCATCACCTCCAGCCAGGACCCGCTCCATCTGGTATGAAACGTCTGGGGTTTCTGGGAGAACTGGAGATAATGCATGCAAAGGGATAAAGTAGGTGCTTAATAGATGGCAACTATTCTAATGTGAAAATAAACTCTAAACCTGCAGGCAGGGAATGGTATTAACCGCACGCCACAGCATAGCACACTGACAATTAGGCAGCCCCTACCCCTTGGGAGACAGGCCAGCCTCAGTAGCTCGTGATAAAGAATGATAAGTGACACCATTTTAGCTGTCTGATCCCCCACCTGTGTTTCTGCCCACTTGTCAGTCTCTCCCAGGCATTGCGGTGAGCTTTGAAGTCAAATGACCCTGGGAGGAATCCCAGTTCTGCCACTTGCTAGCTGTAAGAACTTAGGCAAATTATCCAACCTTCCTGAGCCTCCATTTCCTCATTTGAAAAGTAGGGATGATGGCGATGGTGTTGGTGTTGATGATGACGGTGGTGGTCATTGTCATTACTTTGATGATGGTGATGTAAGGGAGGAAAAACTTCCTTCTACCTTCTTAGGGCTTTTGGCTGGGCCTGAGAATTAAACTGACATAAGACAGATTACCAGGAGAAAAGCACACACGTTGTATTTGAACTTTGATGTGCACAAGGGAGTCCTCTTATGGAAAATGAAGACTCAAAGAAGCAGTTAAGAATAAGAGCTTATACATTATATACTTTTAAACGAAAAAATGATAAATTTGTGGAGAAGTGACAAAGCAAAGGGGTTTAGGGTAAGGGCAGTAATTTGCAGGACAGTGACTAGGAAATAGATGAGGGAAACTGATGGAAAATAAGGATTATTTTGGTAGATTTATTTCTACAGATCCATTTTGGCATCAACTCCCAGTCTGCAATGATGAGAATGTTCTTCTCTTCTGGAACAGAAAAGGCATCTTTCTCATAGGAAATTTTATAACCTGCTTTTAGGTAGAAAGGAGGAGGTGAGAGACCCCTCCCTGCGTCTGCTGTTTCTCGAGTGCCTTCAGCTCAAAATAATCAGGTGCCAAAATGGCATATTTTGGGGTGGCATGTTCTGAACCCCTTAAGTGATGATATTGATAATGATCGTGATGACGATGATGGTGATGATGATTATGGTGGTGATGATGGTGATGGTGATGATGATAATGGTAATGATGGTGATGATATTGATATTGATAATGATTGTGATGATAATGATGGTGATGATTATGGTGGTGATGATGGTGATGGTGATGATGGTGATGGTGATGATGATAATGGTAATTACGATGATGGTGATGATATTGATAATGATTGTGATGATGATGGTGGTGATATTGATGATGATGACAGTGCTGGTAGTGGTGGTGGTGATGGTGATAACCACGATGTCTAAATCATAGCCTCCGTGATTCAAGGCTTGTGACATGCAGAGAATAGCACTGACATGTAGCAAGTGCTAAATAAGTATTGTTTTTTAATTCGTACCCAATAAATAATCTTTATTATTGAAGAGCAGTAGTTTAGACTAGTGCTTCTCGAACTTTAATGTGCATTTGAATCACCTGGAGATTTGTTAAAATGCAGATTGTGATTCAGCAGGTGGGGTGTGGGGCTTCAGCTTCTGCCCACACAACAAGCCGTGGATCACACTGGGAGCTGATCACCTAAACAATCCCTTCTCTAACAGTGTGGTGTGATGTTCAGAGCAGTGGACTCAGAGTCCAGAGGCATGGGATTTGTCACCTGGCTAGTCTTGGGCAAGCTATTGTTCTTTTGATCGCTCATGTGTCAGACAAATGGGTTGGACAAATGACCCCTGAGGTTCCCTACAGTCCTGGGGTAAGCTTGTTGGCATAAGGGCAACTAACATGTTCTGGGCGGTCCAGACGGTGAGCAGAAGTCTGGTGCTGCCCATCAGTGAAGACAGGCCTGAAGCCCAGACTCTGGGAGCCTCCACAGAGCGCTGCCCACGTGGAGGAAAAGCCACATAGCTGCAGATCTCTATCAGCTTCTTCTCATTTCCCTAGAAGGAGACCAGGTTTGTGGATGGAAGAGCCATTCTGCAGTGGGACATCTTTGCCTCCAATGGAATCATTCATGTAATTTCCAGGCCTTTAAAAGCACCCCCCGCCCCAGTGGTGAGTATGCGGGGTTCCTGGGGAGGGACCAGGAGGAAACCATGTCCAAGAGGCAAACTGTTGCTGGGAGTCCCATCCACCACCTCCCTCCTCTGGGGCCTGGAGGAAGCTCCCACATCCAAGGCAGCTGGCTTTGGGATGCCCAACCCCGGCTCATCCCCGCTCCCAGGCATTCGGAGACAGCACCTGTCACCATTAGGATCTGTTCACTGAAAGGGGCAGGATGGGGCAAAGCAGGGACCACTGGACGACGGTGAGAAATCCTGAACTCTGGGTTGGCCCCCCAACTTTGTAGTATCTCTGGGCCCCAATTTTTTCATCTGCAAAATTCGGCTCACATTGCTTCCCTCCTGGGTTTTGGAAAAGGCCATAAGTCAATAGATAAATGAAAAATACTTAGAATAGTCCCTGGCACAAAGTACATGGTATATAAAAGTTGGTTGTTGTTGTTTTAGTTAGTGTTCTAACTTTTTCCCCCAATCAGGAAGGAGGGGTGAGCTGCTAGCTGCTGGAAAGTTCCATAGCATAGTGGTTAAGCACGTAAGCTCCAAAGCCAGACTAGGTTCAAAACCTACTTTTACCATTAACTGACTGTGTGATATTGGACAAGTGTTCAACCTCTCTGTGCCTCAATTCCCATATATAAAAATGGGAACAATAATAATTGTCCCTATCTCTTTGTGTTATTATAACACTTAAATCGATTATTTCAGGAAAGGGGCTTAGAACAGACCCTGGTAGTAGTAAGGGCCAGATACATGTTCACATATCATTACTTTTATCCCAACTGGCTCCAAGATGTCTCAGGCCAGCAACAATGGGGTGAGCTCCAGCAGGTGTACCACTTTCGGGGAATCACTAGTTTTAAGAATTGGCCCTTCCCTCTGTATGTTCAGACTTCGACCCACCCTGGCCTGGTAATAGGGATGGTCCTTGCCGTCTTCCTGGTCACTGGAGCCATTGCTTTTGCTGCTCGTTCTTACTTTCGGCTAAACCGGAGAACAATTGGCTTCCAGCATTTTGAGGTAAGAGAGAGAAAAATGGGCCCATGATAATGGTGGGGGGGGTCCCTCCAAAATCCAGTCCCTGATCCGGGCCACTCCAGATGACTGGCTGATTCAGGGACCCCACCCAGGAGTTGGCGCTCGGCACAGCAGCAGAGGCAGCTACCCCACCCCATGCTTCCTGCCTCCCAAGCGGGGTCTCTGCCCCTGGGAGAAGCAGCAGTGGCGGCTCCCAGCCCTTCCTATGACTGGGACAGGGCTTGGTGAAGAGGGTGAGGGGCTGCCAGTAGCAAGACCCCGAGCCTCTAAGCCGGGGGTTTGGCCTAGGAGTCACATTCACCTTAGAGGATTCACCACGCAAGTGCGCGCCATGATTTGGCTTGGGCTTCAAGACTTGTTCTCACGGTTGGGGGACAGGGTCACGGACTTGCACAGTTAGAGGCTTCGTGCTGCAGCCAGTGGAACTCATTTCTCTCTATTTGAATAGTTGAGTCCACATCCAGGTCAGCAGCAATTGCTTGGCCGACCAGGTAGTGAGCATCCTTCCCACGTACTTTGTCCTCTTCCCTGGCCCACCCTCTCCTGCTGCCTCCTCCTCAAAACACGCTAGGAAAGGCTATGCAGAGCCCCCAAGCAGCAGTTATGCCTTCTAACAGAGACCTTGCATATTTATAGTCTCCAGGAGCAAAGCTCAAAAACACCGTTTTAGCAAAGGTGTACATGCTGTATGATTTCGTTCATATTAAGTTCAAGGACAAGCAACACCACTCCAGGGTGACAGGAGTCAGAACAGCGGTTACCCTGGGTGGGAGGGGGTATTGGCAGACAAGGGGCACAAGAGCTCTTCCTCGAGGGGCGGAAGCACCCTGTGTGCTGATTTTGGCGGTGGTCACACCTGGGTAGATGTGCATAAGCTGTCACTGAGCTGAACCTTAAGGTTGATGCATTTTATTATATGTAAATCATATCGCAACAAAGTACTGTTAAAAAGAAAAAGCTTCCAGCAGCAGAGGGTGGCTCGCCTCACCTGCCAACTTGGATGAGACACTCGTGCTTTGGCTGTCAGCCCTCACGCTTGTCTTTCCGAACAGTCGGAAGAGGATATTGATGTTCCAGCTCTTGGCAAGCAGCAGCCTGAGAACGTTTCGAACCCCATGTACGAGAGCACAACCTCAGCTCCCTCAGAACCTTCCTATGACCCCTTCGCGGTGAGTTTGCAATCTTATCTAGGAACGGGTTCAGCTAGGGGTGCAGGGTCGTGATATCTTTCAGCAAATCTCAGTGGAGGGCTTTGCACCAAGAAAAGTTCACTTCTAGAACGTGTGTCAGGCAACAAGCCTATAAGGCAGCTTTGCAAGACTGTACCCAATGCGGTTGTCCAGAGTTCCTGGTTCCTTTTGGGCAGACAGCAGAATCGTCGAATAGTTGGAGGGGTAGGGGAGAACCAGAGGTTGCCCAACCTCAATCTCAGGACCAGCTGAGAGGTCACACTGAAAATCTGCCTTGGGCTGAATTCGGCCACAAGCATTTACGAGGTAGCAGGTGTAAAACAAGACATAAGGCCATAAAAAAAAGTTTTCCTTTAGCTACCCTTTAAACATATATTGACTGACATTGTTCTCCAAGACTTTTCTGCCTGTTGTCAGAGCTGCTGCTTGGATCTGGAGCTACTTTTCTTTGATGATCCCTTTTATAGCAATGGGTTAATGTTCTGCGCTGGCCTCCCAAGAAGGGACCATTTACCTCCACAGTCAGTCATCCTTGGGCTTCGATGGGGCCTCCACTGACTTCAACCCAGGGGGACCCATTGGCAGGGTACCCCGTTCACACTGAGTGTGGAAGGTACATACTGCCTGCAGTTTATTACTAGTTCTGGATTGAAAAATTAGGAATGAAACTTAATTTTTCCTTTTATATAACAATCAGAAAAATTGACGGCCAGTATGTTGAGCATCCTTGTTTACCTAGCAGACTGAGCTGACACCGTAACTCAGGTCTAAGGAAACACTGGAATCCTGGTTTGTGTGGGTCTACAATCCTCACGTAAAATCAACCAAAGGCAGATAACTGACGTAATTGTTTAGTGCACATACATATGTTATTTCCTCTGCAAGACTATAGTTATTGAATTTTTATATGTTAGCACTGAAACATTACAAAAATGTTTTCTTGCACCGTGTTTAAGCTTGTGCAGTGCAATAGATGTTATTATTTTTCTGAAGTAAACCAAAAGTAAATATGTTGTGGTTCTTTGTGCCTGTGGTAGCAGATTCAATATATTTACAATAGATTGAAAAATAACCAGATTGCAAATCACAGCCTGTCTTTTACCCTAACCATGTAAAATTTCGGGTCCACATTTCAAGCGTAAGTTCAGCTAAATTGCATTTATTAACTATGAGGTGTTTATTCCTGTAAGCATTGTTGAGATCAACTTCATTGCAAAGCAGGGCAAAAATGTTACATCCTCTTCAAAGCACCCATGCCTTCCCAAGCATCTGTCTTCTTCTGAGGCTCCATCAGCACCGTGCACAAAAGATTCACCTGAGGCAGGCGAGGGAGTAACCTAGAAGCAGGATTCAGCTAAACCTTCTGTTTGGGCCAGGTGGCAAAAATATTCTGGTAACAAGAATCCTAAGCCTGACGTACAGTGACGTGGTACATTTGCGTGCCTTTTACACTGGGGGTGGAGGTGTAATACAGTATCTGTAGCCAGTGCAGACACCTTCAGCACCACTCGTTTCACCCACGAAAAACCATTTCTAGCATCCACGACGCTAATTCCCAAAGCCTCGGTGCTGGTCAGAGCTCAAGACAGCAGAGGGTTTGGCGTGGCCATCTCTGGAACGTGGCCTCTGATTATGCTCTCTCAGACCTGCAAGAGCCACCCCCCGATTCAGGATGAATTTTCAACCTGAAAGGAGTTTTTATAATATTATATGCCACCTTTTGTGGGGTGCTTCTACCTTGCTAAACGTCGTGTCTCGTTTAACCCTCACACCTCCCTGCGAGGTAAATATTGTTATGACCCTTGGTAGATGAGGAAACTGCAGAGTTGGGGTGATTTGTCCAGGGCCACCCAGCTTCAAGCAGCAGAGACTGAATGGAACCCCAGACTGGGTGGCCCTACCCACCAGACCATCCCACCTTCCAGCACGAGGCAGCGCCATGTCTGATGAACGAATGCGCCCACCACAGGGCACTCGGGGAGAATCGTGTCTTGGGCCTCACCTCAGTGGCCATGAGAAACGTTCAGCCTGGAAGGATTCAACAACGGGACGACCCGCGCCCTCACCGCGTGGTTCACAGCTCTCTCTTTTTCAGGACTGTGGTGAGCAGCAGCTCGAGAGCAGCGACCCCCTGGGGGCGCTGTGAGGGCCTGGACGTAGAAGTTGGCCGTCACCCACCGCCCTCAGGGCCCACAGAGCCTCCTCACCCAGACCGTCCACTGTGAATTCTCAGCACCAGCTGCCTTTGGGGAATGCAAGGTCCTCTGACGTTTTAAAGTGCAAAGCGCTCAAAAGCCGTACCTCATCTCTTTGGTTAATCTGGGAGTTCTGTTTCTGTGGGTGCGGGGTCATGTTACTATGTCCACCCAGGGGGACTTCTCCCTCCTCCGACCCTCCGCTGTTCTTCCTTTGCACCTTCGGGGGGCAACTTGCCACATTCTGCCCTACACCATGGGTAACTGTGATCTTGTCTTCCTTCCCTGTTAGATTGTAAGCTCCCGGAGGCAGGGCCTTGCCTCGTTTGTCTTTGTATCTCAGCCCCTAGCCCAGTGCCTGGCACGGGAAATGTGCTCAATAAATGTTTGTGGAACAGAAATAAAGTCAATGGAACAGATCTAGTGTTTTGGGACTTCACCCAAACAGGAAGGGTTGAACTTTGAAGGCAAAATCTACTTTAATAGGACTGATTGGGGGCCTTTTCAGTTAGTCATCACCAGCCTTGTAAATTCTTCTTTCTTAATTCACTCATTCGCTTGTTTTTGTGTTTACTTTAAGAAGACATGATAACCACAGCGAGATGCCCCTTCACACCCACGAGGATGTCTGTAATCAAAAAGACAGACAATAACATGTATTAGAGAGGATATGGGGAAAACGGAACCCTCAGACATTGCTGTTGGGAATGTAAAATGGTGCAGCCACTGTAGGAAACAGTTTGGCAGTTCCTCAAAAAGTTAAACATAGAGTTACTCTGTGACCCAAAAATCCCACTCATAGATATATACCTAAGAGAAATGAAAACATGCCCACCCAAAAACGTTGGGTGGATGTTCAGAGCAGCATTATTTATAATAGCCGAAATTTGGAAACAGTCCAAATGTCCATCAACTAATGAATGACTAAAATGGTGGTATTCCACACAGTGGAATATTATTCAGCCCTAAAAAAATGTGAAGTACTGCTACATGCAATAATTTGGATGAACCTTGAAAACATGTTAAGTATTTACACACCTATAATCCTAGCACTCTGGGAGGCGGAGGCGGGAAGATTACTTGAGCTCAGGAGTTCGAGACCAGCCTGAGCAAGAGCAACACCCCTGTCTCTACCAAAAACAAAGGATAAAAAAACCGGCCAGGTGTCTTGGCGTGCACCTGTAGTCCCAAATACTCGGGAGGCTGAGGCAGAAGGATCACTTAGAGTCCAGGAGTTTGAGGTTGCAGTGGGCTAAAATGACGCCACAGCACTCTACCCAGGGTGGCAGAGTGAGACCCTGTCTCAACAACAACAACAACAAAAAAAAAGACAAGGAAACTGAGCCCCCCTCCTCACAACTTCCTACCCCTTCATAAAAAAAAAAAAATCATTAAAAAGGTATGTTAAGTGAAAGAAGCTAGTTACAAAGGACACATATGATTCCATTTATATGAAATGTCAAATAGGCAATAGAGACAGAAGTAGATTAATGATGAGGGGTGGAAGGAGGAGTTACTGATAATGGACACAGGGTTTCTTTTGGGGTGATAAAAGTATTCTAGAATTTGATAGTAGTGATGGTCATACCACCTTATGAATATACTAAAAAACACTAAATTGTACACTTTCAAACTGAATTTTAATGAAAAAACTGAATTTTATGGTATGTTGTTAACTGTATCTCAAAAAAAATTGAAGACATGACCACTAGTATTAATAATGCTCCATCTTTCCAAATATCATAGGCGGGCTGGCTTTGGGGTTTTTTTAGTACAATTAACCCACCAAAGAAGGAAGAAGATACCCCTCTGCTTTGGAACTCACAGCTAGAGTGATATGACCAAAAACCCTTCCTTCAGAAGGCAAAGAAAAACCTCTGCCCCACCCACCGGAAGAAACCAGCCTTGGGGTGAAACCATCGAGGGAGAGAGAGAGAGAGACAGAGAGAGGAGAGAGGCGTGGATGGTGCCCGGATAGAAGCCAGGCCATGGATGCACTGGGGCCTGCTGACTCAAAACAAGCCAGAAGGCTGAAGGGACCCAGTGCTTTCCCTTTACTGGGAAAGCCCCTCCGCTGAGACCTGGCACTCAGCCCCTCGCAGCCACTGGCACCCATGGTGTACTCTATTTTCCTGCCACATTGAAACTCATCTTCCCTAGAATCTAAAATCGCGGAGTGTCACAACTGAAGATGACCTGAGATCACCATGCTCCGTGAGCACAGGGTTTTGGGGGGGGGCTTGCACACCCTACAACGCCTCCACAAGTAAAGCAGTTCCACTCTTATGTGATTTATATATAGTTTTTTTCTTTAGATTATTAGGGAGCTGGGGGTGGGGGAAGAGTTCCAGGAATGGCCAAAAAATGTTTGACAACCACTGATCCAACCATACTTTTACCCATGAGAAGCTGAGGCCCAGAGAAACCACATGCAGCCACAGGTGACACTACTGGCTGGGACGTGGGTGGAGGAACTCAGCTTCCCTCTCCCTAAGCCCAGCGCTCTCCTTCCTCCCTGCAGCCCCTGGCCCAAGGCCCGCATCCCCAGCATACATGGATTTTGGCTCTAGATTTCATTAGGGTGTGAAATTTCATTTCATTTCTCCCCGTCTCCCAGTGGAAGATCTCTCACAGTCTCGCCATGTTTTTATTATCAGTTTTCAACAGGCTGAGTTCTGAAAATCTGAAATCTTATTCATTTTGCATTGAAACTCTGGATACAAAACTTTGGACCGACAACTTCCTTAGCACCTTTATTCTACACCTGCGAGGGATCAAGTCCCCAACTGGAAACAGCTTGGTCCAATTAAAGTGTACAAATAAAATCCAAGTCCTTCGGATGTGAGCGATTGCGGAAGGCAGAGTCCAGGCCGCTGCCCTGAACGTGCACCCTATAGGACAGCAGATAGGTCAGGGCCCACTCAGAGGAGAATGCAGAAACATCCCAAGGGACTTAGCTTTAGGTTGCATCTTTATACAAGGAAAATTACATCGGAGCCCAACCAAGCCACAGATTTATAAAGAAACACTCAACAAAGCCTCTTATTCGTGTTGTCCAGACCCACATATTTTTCCATTATGTCAAGCTCCTGTTATATCCCTTTCTCAGGACTATTATTTGCTGGGATCCTAGCCCTGAGGCACAGACAAGAGGAGGGGTGTGTGTGTACCTTCTTAGAAACATCTGAGATTTATAATCAGAAGAAATAGGTTCAACTGAAAGCTCCTTCACTTCACAGTTAAGGGAAAGCCGTAAACCAGCCTCCCAAGGTTGTTAGGATCATGTATCAGCCGTATGCTGGCATTACTGTAGCAATGAGCAAGGACTCAAAAACCCGACTCCAAATTAGCTTACACAGCAACTGGGATGTATTGGCTGGTGAAGACCAAGAGGAAGGGAGGAGGGAGGTTTCAGGGTTGATTCCACTCTGGGGCTCAGTGACACCACCAAAGACCTGGTGTCTTCCTGCTCTGCCTTCTGAGGGCTCCAATCATCCTACAGCAGATTTCCTCAGGGGCATGCATTGGCCTTATCACTCCCGTATTTCACACCCACATAGCGCGGAAAGTCTGATGTGCCTGGTCCTTGCCTTCGAAATATCCGAAGTGCCTTCCCCATCCCTGCGACACCAATCAACCTCCCATCCACATGTTCTGAGTTGTCCGTCGGTGGCAGTACTGGCCAGGGCTGGGGACAGAGGGGAAAGCCGGGTTGGGCAGATCTCAGACGCCCCTCTCTGTTGCCCTCACAGCCCAAATAACTTCATTCCACATCATCAGGATTTCTGCTGAGCCAAGTCCAAAGTTCTGGAAGCCCCAGAGTGTCTCGTAAGCTCGTTCGCAAATCCAAGAAAGAGAAGCAGGCCCCGTTTCTGTCAGAGAAGCAGCTTGTCACTTTCTCTTGGATGACACGCTGTGATGGGAACAATGCCAAGCTTCCAGGAAACCGCCCCAAAAACGAATGTGGGGCAGATCTGATAGCGAGTCCACCAACACCCACCATTACAGGCACAAAAAGGCAAGTGATTCAAAGGAGAAAAAAATAAAATATCCACAGGAGGAGTGAACGAGATAAAGGTATCAGCAAAATGAGATGTCAAGGATTTAAAGATATTAAACACACACACTTAAAAAGTTAAAGAAAAGGGCCGGGCGCGGTGGCTGACGCCTGTAATTCTAGCACTCTGGGAGGCCGAGGCGGGTGGATCGCTCAAAGGTCAGGAGTTCGAGACCAGCCTGAGCAAGAGCGAGACCCCGTCTCTACTAAAAAATAGAAAGAAATGATCTGGACAACTAAAAATATATAGAGAGAGAAAAAATTAGCCAGGCATGGTGGCGTATGCCTGTAGTCCCAGCTACTTGGGAGGCTGAGGCAGAAGGATCTCTTGAGCCCAGGAGTCTGAGGTTGCTGTGAGCTAGGCTGACGCCACGGCACTCTAGCCCGGGCAACAGAGTGAGACTTTGTCTCAAAAAAAAAAAAAAAAAAAAAATTAAAGAAAAATAAGGTCTTCAAATTATTTATAAATTTATCCAAAACCCAGTACTGAATTGACTTCATAACACTCCTAACTCCATATTTCCTTTCCTTAAAACATTTCCAGCTTTCCCAATAATTCAATTACAAATAAACATGTGAACCACCAGCTTCTCACTGTTCTGGAGGAGGGAACTCCCTGCGGTGGCGCATTACAGGTCACCTGCTGCCCACTGGGGGCTGTGCTCACCCCGACCTTCCATCTGGGGCTTAACTACACAGGCTTCAGGCTCCAGAAGCAAGGGGGTGTGCTTGCTGAGGGGGGGTGTGCTGAGAACTCATCACCTTTGACCTCTTCTCTCAAGGATATCCTTCTTGGGGTCCATTAGAATCTTTTTTTTATCCAAGACTTCCTTAATTTCTTTTAGTAGAAATAACCTCAAGTCCCAGGAAAAAGGCATGTTTAGAAAACAACACTGTGGATTCATTAGAATTTAACATGGCTTTGCCGCTGACTTAAGCACTCAAAACAGATGACAATAACCCAGATGATACAATTCAAACTTTTATTTGGCAGTAAGTTCAATAGCACAGAACACATAAAATCAACATTTAGAATAAATAGCAAATTCACATTAGAATAAATACTTACGTCTACCTAATTTGCATGTATTATGCCTGATATCATACAGGCGTAATTTGTCATTCCATTAAACAATTAGAAAACAATCTTCTAAGTCCGAGTTCAAGCCTGCAGGACTAGAAAAGTACAGAAGCACTGTCACAGGTCGGGTTCCCCGAAAGAAGACGCCAACACGGAGACTGGCATGCAGGGAAGTTTACCGGGAGTGCTGTGGGTCTGGCAGGGCCAGGCAGGGGAGGTGCCTGGGGAGCTCTGGAGCTGGGATGGCCCCACAGGGTTCTCCAGAGTTCGGGTGGGGAGGCCAGGCCTTTGTACCTCCACATGAAGCAGTCAAGGGTTACCAGCAGGAAGGGGGCAGGACCCGGGCAGGCAGGGGTCTTCAGCAGGAGAAACTTCCAAAGAGGGTAGCAGCAGTGAAAGGCCAGCCAGCAGCACCCCAGCAGTGGGGAATAAGTCCTTCAGTCCCAAGGGTCATCTGGGCAGCTGAGCCCAGCACCCAATACTAGCACACTTACAAAAAAAATGCAGTGCAATGAGAGGTATATTCAATGAGTACTCAAGCCTACAGCTCGAGTACACACACTGGCCATACACATAAATATGCCCAGAAAGCAGCTCATGAGAGAACATGGCACATTTATCCAGAGCTTCTTTCTCCTATCTGCAACCCACCTACAAGGTTAGTCACCAGCATGCTCTCTGCAAGGGAATCTTGCCATTGCCACCAACGCGATCCATTAGAACAGGGGCCAGCAAGCCACAGCCTGAGGGCCAAATCCAGCCCACAGCCTATTTTGGTAAATTGGGTTGTAATGGAACACAGCCGTGCCCATTCCTAGAGTAGCAGCAACAGCCAACGGCCTGCAAAGCCAAAAACATTTCCTATCTGGCCCTTTCCGGGAAAAGTTTGTTGACCCTGCATCAGAGCAAATTCACTCCCTTCCCTTCCCTTCTCTTCACCCACTCACTGGTAGCATCAAAGGTGAGCTGAACTTTGAGCCAAGCTCCAAAATACTAAGGCAAAAAATAAACAAACAAACTGGTACAAAAGGAAATCAATATTAAGAGGGTAAAACAGGCTATTAGTTGAACAGAGTAATCAAGGAATCCTGCCTCTCGCCAAATTTATCCCTAGAGCATTCTAGACAAGGGCCTCAAGTGGGTGTTTGGCAGAAAATGAGCACTTGGAAAAGTGGAATTCCGATATTGAGCACATCCACTTCTGCATAAAAGGCCCTTTGAGAGGAAGAGAGAAGGAAAAGCCATTTCATTCGTCTGAAGCTAAATTAGCTAGGAGTCGAGACTACTTTTCATTTCTCCTTTGCAATAATTAAGAGGCCCAATGCATTCAAAGCAACTAGTGATTTCGTCTGAGATATGCCCAAATCAGTAGCAGGTGGTTTATGTTACATGGTATCAATGGTGATAGCAGAAAATAGAGCTAAAGAGGAAAAGTTTTTAAAAATTAAAAAGAGAGGGGATATGTTAGGAGGAAAGTGAGAGCTCTAAGCCAAACACCTAAAATATTTTAAAAATCAGGTAAAATCACCTGTGCAAGTCCCTTCCAAGGAGACCTGCTATGGGTGCCGTGAGTCTCCCTAGCACGGACTGCCCCGAACTATGATTTTGTGTTCACATAATTCTTAGAAAATCAGTCTATGCAATGTTTTAAAAAAAACAGTAATTTTTTGAATACTAAAGTTACTTACTACTTAAGTTCAAACTAAAGTTATTCTGATTGCTTTACAA